CCTTCTCATATTTTAATCGTAAAAAAAACTCGTGCGATCAGCCAAGATGCGCGCACCACACCAATGTTACACCTTTATTAAATTTAAATTGACTTGTACATTAAGGGAATTATCGGAAGGAAATCGAAAATATAAACGATAAAAGGTATCTCAAACCTAACAATGTACCAAAAAATTTAATATAATTAAAGTCAAAATCCAATTAGCACTATGAAATTCCAAGGTGGCTAAAAGAAGGTATTTTTCATTATCCTTTTAGTTACACAATAGTTCTATTTTTATCGACGTATCTTAATTGATGCCGAAGACAAAAATAACTTGTAACTTAATTCATAATAGCGATACTGACGTCAATGTGTGGGTGAACTGAATTTATATCAAGTCAATTTGTATAATGAGATTGTCTTATATATCGAATAGAAAGTATGTATACAGTGGATGCCATCACAGAACCTTCATCACCTTAATCTACTTCGAGTTAGCATAGTATATATGCACTATTACTATCGTATCTGTTTCGTTGATTGATTTACTTTATTGATACGTAATAGCCTGCTGTCTGACACGCGTTTTTTGGGATATAGATAGAAGCAATATATGTATATGTAAGCATATATACCTATGTATATATGACACCAGAAGATAACAAAATCCGCAAGATTACAAATACTTAACTGTCGTAGGATTCTAAACGAGAAGTAAATTGTATTATTTTACGCCCATATTTTCGCAAATTTATCAATTTGCGACTTCTCGAGGTAAATTTATAAACTAACGGAAATCCGTTTAGATTCCGTTAGGTTAGGTTAGTGACTTATTCAATTTTCGATTTTCTTTAGTTATCGCTTATTTATTATTTTACGCGTAAGTTCGGAAAGTTTATTTTCTATGAAATTTATAAACTTGCTGATTTTGTTATATATTCCGGTGACATATATATTGCATATAAATAGATCAGCCCATGGACCTTCTTCAAGGTCGGTATTAATTTGATAAGAAAAAACATTTTTATATTATTTATTATAGTATTAACTGCGTAGAAATTCTTTGATCGGTTTTGACTAACATAATCATGTTTTGTTTTCCTCCTACATTTGTGTTCCACCCTTTGATTAGTAAAGTGAGGTGGTGGCCGGACTGAATGTGTAATCGATAGATATTCATTTCTAGTATCGTGTTAGACTTCTTGTATGATAAATATTAAAATAGCAACGCAGATTCAGTCTCACGGTTAAACATTCGTCTCTCGAGAGACAGTAGTCGTGAAGGTAATAACGGGGAGACAAAAAAGTCAGCCTTTCTATTTGCCAATTTAAAAAAAATAATCAAAGAAACAGATGCAGAAATATAGCATTGTGTAAATTAATATTATTTATACGTTATTAGAACAGAGTAGATCCACATGCATATGAAATGTAGCGTAGCTATAGTGTAGCTTTAGAAAATTCAAATGTACCTGAGAACGGAAGGTCAATACAAAAATACGTTAAATGGTAGTTTAGATTAATTAAAATGCTTATATAATAAGCCTAAGATGTAAGCAGCCATTTTGAAGATTGAAAGTCTGAATCTCGAGACTGGGCATGCGCGGAATAAGCGCTCCGAAACTACTTGTTGATCCCGATTCCATTCACTACGCACAGCCTTGCGCATTCTACGCCGTAACTTACAAATTTCCATAAATTATTATCTCACGTTTTTTCCAATTGATTACATTATTCTTCCTAACATAATTGCTCGTAACAAATTTTACTTCATAACATTCTTTTCGGGGTTTGACAAGGCGTAAATAAGAAATAATATGTATCTATGTATGGCTGTTAAAATAAAGTAATAATTTTCAATAATATAACATTAACATGTATAGGGCATTCTTCTTCAAGAATCGAACCGCCTAAAACATTAACGATGGTAATGATGTCTTTGTGGACACGTCTAAGGTCTATTCTAGATTTGTATCAGAATACAATTATACAAGGAAATGAGTAAAATAGCAAATTCTATTTTAGCAATATTTCATATTTGATATCTCATACACGTTATGTTTATTATACGTAATTAAATAAGCATTGATTTGATCTCGTAAATAAAATGTTAATTTACATTTTTGTGGGGATTTATTTTTTTATTTATTATATACATGATCTTAAATAGAAAATAAGTTGGTGTGGTGGAAACACAAACTGGACACAGTTTTTCTGTCCACCAGGACGTGGTGAACAGGTTTTTGCATAGTTTTCTAAATTTGGAATTGCAAACTCATATTCTATAATATCGAAATAATGTAATAAGAAATGGCATCATTTAAATACAAGCAAACCGGTCGATCAATACGGCTCAGAGGCTGCGCGTGTGTCCATATCCCCCTCCTCTCCGTACCTAAGCTACCCAAACCCCGCCACCCACGGATGTGACCGTGAAAATTTTATGCGACGCCAATTTTAAAATTAATTATGTATATATAAAACATTAAGAATTATCCACTGGAAACTCCCACATATTATGGTCTAATAGCCGGCAATTTTTTTACTAGTATACAATATTCATAGTTTATCTCGGATAATCTAAATAGTCTCTGACATTACTGATTATGATTATAATTAGACCAATTATAACGATAAATCGTTATAAACTAGACGGTCCATGTTGGGTCCACGGTACATACCTTTCCCTCAACCACAATAGCACAAGTAAGACATTCTCCACACAAAATCACAAAACAGTTTTCCAGTTTCAGAATCACTGAAATATTGTTTTTTAATGACAATTGAATCCAAGTTATTCGGGCACTTAGACTGACGCGATCCTCTCCGTAACGAGGAAGGTACTGAGTGATCTGGAACCTTACCCGCCCGCCCTGCGCTTTGCGCCCCGCGGTCTGCGCTACATCGATGAATGGACCGCCCGCCCCTACGTATTTAAAGTATAACACTCGCCTACATTTGTATTATATCGTCTACTGAGAATAACAGTCGATGGAAATAGACCAGCTTACAGTAGACAGTTTGGAGAACTTAAAGTAATTAGGGAAAAACTATAAAAGCCACTGAGACACACTTTAGACTGAAATGAGAAGACAAAGAAGGCAGAAATACGTATTTTATTATTTAATGTTTATATCGTACCTATACAATTATAACATGAGCCGTTGTCAGTAACAATCACTAGTATAGTTTTTTTAATTTAACCATATTTTATGTAATAACTAACTAAATAAATAACTAGCTCAAATATAGCTGGAATCATTAAATACTTTCAAAACTATAACAATTATTATACTCGTCATCGATTTCTATACCTAAATACAAAAAAAACTAATTATTCGGATAAATTATATAACATTTACAACAAATCTAAATTATTGAAATTCGATGTAATTTTATGGCTGAAATAGCTGTTCTTGTTCGTAAGTATTAGTAGTAATTTATAAAAATGTAAATCTTAGTAGAGAAATGTGACGAATTTAGTTATATGTATGAGAATAGTTAAAAATATTACAAAAATAATAATAAAACAAAAGATAACTTCAATGACATCTAGAGGATTAGTTCAGTATCTTTTACCTTTAAGTTGTGTCAGTAATTCAACATCAACCCACTGATGTTGTAGGTTCATTGCGAACCGACTTTGAAAATCCGCATTACTATTTTATAGTTTAGTACAAAGATGTCTCTGATTGAAATCTCGTGTTTTAAGCAACAAAATTGCGAGATTTCAATCAGAGAAACTTTTGACCCCGTCTAACACACAATTAGAAAAGCAATACGGGTATCAGTCGATTCGTGTATATGGATAGGTTGTAGAATGTACGGTGATGAGTAATAATAATGGCGTATATGCAATATTAGACCGATCCACCTCCTCCCATTCCCCCCTCCCATCCCCGTACGACTAATGGTTTTCTGAGGGCCTTTCCTGAAATCACTACCATCTTCGATTTTTATAGAATATGAAAAATTTGCTTACGAGATGTCAAATGATAGAAGAACTATGTGGTGTGAGGCATGGACATTTGCGTTATGATAAGTAAAATATTGTAAGGTAATATGTAAATACAATCTTGAACTTGTGGACAGTGAAAGTAAAAACACAGGATCATTCATAATACTTTATTTTACAATGTTTTGGCTAATGTAGTATAATTTTTGGCTCTGCATCTATAATATTAACCTCAATATCTAATTGCATTTTAACATAAACAATATTTACAAATCTAGTTAACTATCTAAATGCTCTCTTTGCTTTTTGAGTCTACTTGGACCTCTTTAAACGAAATTGATATTTTAGGAAGCTATACTAATATATTTCGTAATGTTTTAATCTAACGATAAACTCTTGAAAGAACGTCACGATCGAAGGTTATACTTTTAAACACAACAATTACAATAGAATTCAACTCGTTATATTTGAAACACGTTAAGTGAGAAATTCTATTTGCTAGCTCTACTAAAGGTAATTAGCTAAATCTAGGTAGGGATTACATTCTAATAGTTTAAAATATTCTTAAACTGTATAAACATAGTTAATCTCAGTATGATAAGTAAAATGAGATGAAATGGCAGTATATATAAATTTATAGTAACCACCAGCGGTGAAACAATAAAAATATACAAATAACATCCTTCTTGCGGACAATTTAATTTAACAACACTTTGTTCAGCACTTGCTATGTACAAAAATTATCTATTAAACTTAGACAAAGCATGAGATTGTATTTAATCTTTGTTTACAAATTAATTATATTCACTTATTATAAAATTCCCCATTTTTGCGCACCGAGATTCTAACGTGAGTTTGACGAAGTGTCAAGAAGACCCTTGGGCTCCCATGAGCTACGAGCGAAAATAACATGTTTCAGATCAGACAGATATTTTTTCGTAGGTTTTATATTAGCGACTAATATACACATGTCAAACTCATGCTAGGCTTTATATACTCGTAACTGTACACGTAACATTCTTTTTGTATTACATTTATGATGACGTAATCCTAAACAGTTTCTAATCGATTACATAGAATACCCAATACACGGCATTAAATATAAGGAAACAAATCGGGAATATGACTCGGGAGTAGGTATCTATCACGTTGACGTCGCGGATTTTCGGCATTGAAGCCTTTAAAACTGTTGCGCCTTTCCGAAGCGCGTGCATCACTCGAGGCTTATGGGTGGCGCCATCTGAAAAATAGTTTTCAAGTTAAAAAATGTTTTTAAGTTAAGTTAGATATCATGATTTAATTGGAAATTACGCTGCCTTCGCGACCAGATATGCTATTGACATATGTTGAAACCCGTTACGCCAATAAACTTACAGCTTCTGAATATTGATTGATTGACTGACTGAATGAATAAGCAGTGTTGGCCTGGTGGCTTCAGCGTGCGACTCTCATACCTGAGGTCGTAGGTTCAATCCCCGGCTGTGCACCAATGGAATTTCTTTCTATGTGCGCATTTAACATTTGCTCGTACGGTGAAGGAAAACATCGTGAGGAAACCGACATGTCTTAGACCCAAAAAGTCGACGGCGTGTGTCAGGCACTGGAGGCTGATCACCTACTTGCCTATTAGATTTAAAAATGATCGTGAAACAGATTTTACTTATTTTGTTGTAGATATAAATATTGCACGGCATTTCGAATAATATCTAAATGAACACGTGTAATGTAGTTGCAATCAAGGTATATTGGAATTGCGTAGTGATGTATCGGCTATACTTGAAATGTCTGTAAAATCTCACCAGCAAACTATAAACGTCCTGAAGAAAATCATCACTCATGAAACACATCTACAAGTCCAAATTTATACGCACCTTAAGATTTAGTTATAAATACGGACGATATTGAATTAAAGAAAACAAAATATACTCTCATTAGAAACAACCAAATATTCTCGTGATGTCACATATCAAATTGAGAAGAACTATGAATGTGAATTGAATTGATTGAATTTATTTTATACTAATATCTGCAGTTTGCGAAAAGAATCCAAATTTCATGAACTAAAATCAATACTGAAGTCCATGCCTGGTTTTATACATGTCATACTTTTAACTGAAACTTGGATTCAATCTGATCATCAGGCAACTGAGATGCACCTAACAAACTATACGCACTACTACTTACAACTATAGAACAGATAATACTGGAGGATTGATTGTATTCTGCCCATAGGTATACATAATGAATTCGAATATTCATGGATACGCTCGACCTACTAAACCGGAAACAATTTAACTTCACACCAAAAGATTGAATCAACAAAGATATCCTAATTTCAATTAACGGAAGAAATGAAACGTGGGAATTTTAAAACTAAATCCTAGGACATGAAGAATTAAAAACACTATTTCAAAGCCAGAAACTAGAAACATAAACTAAAATCAAACGGCCCTAAGATCTACTATAATAAAGAATTTCAAAAACATTCTAAAGAACCGTAAAAGATATGGTCTCTAATAAATGCCCTTTTCGAACAAAATTAAAGGCGAAAAATAACCATTTAAGATCGAACAGGAAACTGGAACAATTACCGCACTACCTGATATTTGTAAAAAGTTTAATGAGTTCTTTTCCATAATGGGACATTAGCTGACCAAATCCCACCACTCCTACACTCAACAAAAATCTTTTCCGACCTAAAACAATGTAGTGTGCCTGCAATTAGAAAACTTATACAAAATCTATATTCCAACTGCAGTACGGGCATAGATGGAATCTCTACAAAATCAATAAAGAACATTAAGAACTTTATGTTTTTAATAATAAAAAAAATCTCATTTAAGTGACATATTTGCTTTTTATTGAGACTAAACTTCTTTAAACCTAATTTAAAAATGGTATTTCCGATAACAAGGCCGATATAGACTACCGACTAAAAAAACAGCCTTTGTTCGTGAAAAATTGTGCTTACAATGAAAGATTTGGAATTCTATACAAAATGTGTACATAGTACGCCTATGTTGTAATATGCGATATTCAAAGACACGTAATTTGGGTTAAAGCTGAGTTTAAACATACTTCTTGAATTCCTTGAGTGCGGTCGAGTTCTGTATCGTAGATTTGTGTGGTCTCGTTGCAGCCTCAGGGACGGCGGGGCTCCGGTGGCCACCTGTAGAGGCTTCGATCGGAGCCCTAGCAAAGGGGAGACGCGGCCCGAAGTAGGCGTACACTCCCGTAGCGCTATGATCTCTTCAGGCGATCGAGTCCCTAGAAAACAATCAATAACGGTTTAATCATGGCCAAAAACTATTGATGATACAATTATTATAAGGGTTACTTGTGTCGAAAAACAAATAAGAACAATATTAACTCTATATCAGTCACTTTAAAATAAACAAAAATACCTTCAGAGCTTTTGAGATCCTTCTCGACACTGGTGCTAGCGGAGAGGTCTCTGTTTTTTAACTTGGCCCGTTTTTTCGCTCTCGCGCCCCAGTACGTGTAATTAACGGCCGCGTACTCCAGCAGAGCCGCGAAAACGAACACGAAACACATCACGAGGTATATGTCAATGGCTTTGACGTACGAGATGCGAGGCAGACTGCTCCGCACCCCAGTGCTTATTGTTGTCATCGTCAGAACCGTTGTTATGCCTATAACGTGAATGTGGAACATCTTTCATTTACATCTCGGTTGTCAGTTTGGCATTTATTAAGATACTATTAATTACGTTTACCCATTTAGATAAATATGGATCAATGGTCTGAAATAAATAACTATTATTATTTTTAAATGAAGCCAGGAAACTCACCTAAAGCAACCCTAGCGGACGTGGCCTCATGATTAATCCAAAACGAAACCCAAGACAGCATCACAATCAAGATACACGGCAGGTAAGTTTGGAAGACGAAGTACCCAATATTCCGTCGCAGCTTGAAACTTAGTGATAAACGCTGATAGATGCCTGTCGCTAACTTCTCCTGCACAGTTAATAGACACTTTAGAAACCGATTTCGAGTTCCACTCGTTGTTTAAACAAGCTTTAATCGTCTGAGAGCTAACATATTTTAACAATAACAACATGTCTTCCTGAGCGTAATAATATGAAGACCATCATTTCATTTTTACGACAAACGAGTCTTCGTTTTCTCTGTTAAAACCTAAACGTTAACGTTAACAACATAGTTTAAGGCAAATTTTAACGTATTCGTGTAAAACGATATTTATTCTAGAACCCCGTACCTTCGCAAACCTTACAAAGTGAAAATTCAAGCTGTGTTTGCAATTTCCGAGAATATGCAGTTTCCTATCTTACATTACTTATTCATGCAGCAGGTAACCAAGACATGAATTTTACAAGAGGACTTGTAAAATAATTGTGCTTTAGGACATTTATTACATATATTTATTAATATTTTACACAGAAATGTACTAAGATTTAACTTTTCTAACGTTTTGAAATAACATGACTATAATAATATTTGTTTGGCTAATTTAATAAAAAAATATTATATTTTGTAGATTCGTCGTATTTCTTAAAATATAATCACAAATACATTCGCCTCACTTGATATTTTTCCTATCAAAAGGCCAGTGATAACGCGTACTGACCTTCCTGTCATTCGTTCCGTGGCCCAGTATCGAGAACTGAGGAAGTTCCGCGTCCTCCACCCCTCGCACCGGTGTGTCTTTCCAATACATCACAACGTCAGATACAGTGTACCCATCTATATATAAACGTACTGTTAGAATGTAAACTCAATGTTAACGTCTTTAAAGAATTGCCGTATTTGTCCGTGACAAATACGGCAATTCTTTAATTTTTTGATTGATTCCATGAATTGATTCCAGCTACAAAAATGAAAACTTTTTAAAATATGTTTAAGAAATGCATCTACTTTAACATGATTCACTCAGCAAAGTCACCCTACGTCCATCTTTACGACTAGGCTGTATGAATAATTAGCTACTAAACCAGTATAAAAATTTGAGAGCTTATTTTACAGTGCAAGAGCAAGTACAGTGCGGCAGAAACATCTTCAACAGTGCAAAGCAAGGCTTAGTTCGGCTTATATTAAAGTTATGGAGTCACACAGCTTTCAATCTCGACGGTGCAGTTCTGGCTGTCCAAGGGGTAGTAATGGAGGTCCATCATGCAGGCCAGGGTTGCGGTGAACCGCATTCCATATGTGATGCTGCCATCTCCGCCAAGACGGACTAATTTGTTACGCTCGGTCACATCATGCAGAAAACTGCGAAATCGAAAAAGACCAAATTTTGTTGATTAACCGTTAATTAACCCTTAAATATTAATTAACCCTGTCCATAGGCCAAGTTTTTCGCAAAATTTATTCTATTTGAAGTGAGAGTTAGCCACGATCACTACTATTTAATTGACTTTTTATTAATCATATACGTTCCAAAACGAAACATTTTTCTAAACTTAGGTCGAAACTAAGGTAGGTAAACAAATCTTTGTGTCGACATGAAACTGATAAAGAGTATGGAAATAATTAATATTTGATTCATGCCAATAATCACTTGCCATTGCTTTCGTGTTAATGTTTATGGTTACATTTATGTTTCGTTATTTTGCAACACCACGAACCTGTTCTTATCATTGGCAAAAAACGTATCCGGCACCCAAATCCGATCGGCAAAATCTCCAGAGAGAGTGAGGACTTCTTCGGTTAAGCCAAACTCCAACCTTTCATCTTTCCAATACTGATTCAGATAAAGGGTTATTGTGTAGTCCTGAAAACAGTGTTACCCAAACCTACGCTTAAATCAATCAGGATATATGACGTAATTGTATTTTATTTAATTTCACCGACAGCTCACTTTAAAATAATTATAAATGTATATGAGAAAGTAGTAAGTATAGAAGGGTTTCATTAAATATAATAAATTTGCTTGTTTGTTTCCCACATTCTCTCAAAGTGGCGAAAACTCCTTCAAGACCTTAAATATTGTGAAGAAACAGTTAATTAAGGTATTTCCATATTCTATGTTTAAACTCGTTATGGAATCGTTGTAACGTTTGATATTCAAATGCCGTTTTGTATGGGAGGAACAAGAAGTCGTATATTCTTAAATATAATATATTTAATTAATCAAAGTAAGAACCATTGTTTTCTATGCACTTTTGCCATCTCATAGGTTGTTCATTGATCCCTTTACTAAAAAAAACAGTCGGACGGGAATCAATAAAATCTGTGAAGGCGATTTGGACTGCCCCATCAGAGTTAAATTTTTTCCCTTGCAAGAAGTTGTCCAAATTTCGAAAAAAATGGTAATCTGTTGGAGCAAGGTCTGGGGAGTACGGAGGATGTCTTAGACATTCCAATTGAAGCTCTTCTAATTTGGTAGCCGTCCGTTGTGCAGTGTGTGGTCTAGCGTTGTCGTGAAGTAGCAGTGGCGTGGAGCGATTGACCAGCCTAGGTTGTTTAGCCGCTAGCTTTTCCATCATGGTTTGCAATGGCTGACAAAAGACATCAGCCGTAATAGTCTGGCCAGATTTGAGAAAACTGCAATGAACAATACCGGCACTAGTCCACGCTTACAAGTAACTTTTTTGGGGTTAATTTTCGCTTGGGGCAGGATTTGGCTGGCTGGCCAGGATCCAACCATTGCGCTAAACGCTTCCGATTATCGTAAAGAATCCATTTTTCATCACAGGTAATGATTCGGTTTCAAATACCTTCATTATTGTGCCGGTTCTGTAATGTAACGCAGCACTTTGCCGGTTTGCTTCAGTCAATTCGTGAGGTACCCATCTTTCAAGCTTTTTAATCTTCTCAATTTGCTTCAAGTGAAATAAAACAGTTTTATCACTAACACCGCAGCCTGCAGCTAACTCGGACGTAGTTTGCGATGGATCCGCTTCCACAATAGCCTTCAATACTTGGGTCTCAGGCCGTCCACGGGGCTTGTTCTGCGGGTCGAAATTTCCAGAACGAAAACGTTGGAACCAAAAACGAACTGTGTTTTCTTTTGCAACATGACCGCCATTCACATCATTCACCCTTCAAGTCGTTTCCGCAGCACTAGTGCCACGGCGGAACTCATACTCGTAAATAATGCGATACTTTATGTTTTCCATTTTGTAAAATGAGTAACGCAAACAGAAAAAAACAGAAGAAAAAAACAAATGAATGACGATCATCGAAGCACAAATACATGAGTAAATAGCTGTACAAATTTGAATTTGGAATTCCTTACCAAAGAGGAGAACATCGTGATTAAAGTGGCCAGTACGAAATACACCAATTTCATTACTTAAAAACTATCTTGCGTGTCCGGAACTACTTAAAAAAGTCAGTGACCTGAGAGAGAGTGACAAATAATGTAAGTCACCTATGCCTTAAAAAATCGGCAATAAGCATTTATTTTATTGAGTGGGAGGCGTCAGATAGCTGAGGCAAGCATCGATTGGCCGAGTCAGCACTCCGCCCCGGCGACCGGCGAACCCAGAGATGTATGTCAAGAGCTGGCCTTGCGCTCTTTCCCCTATTAAAAGCTTTAACGAACACGATGAGCGATCAAGTGCGACATCCTTGAATCCCAAAAGAAAACTTGTCAAATCTCCGTTGAGGTGCGTCAACTTCGCATTTAAGCCAACTTAACAATCTCTCGTGTTTACGATCTTAGCTTAACACACGGAGAACATAGAGACTTCAAAGGAATTCACAAATTACAATTACATGCTTTAAAGAAAACGACGTTACCATAGCAACAGAAACGTACAATTAACAAAATGTTAAATGTGATTACTGGCGCTACAACCTCTTTAGGTCTTGGCCTCAGATTTCTGAATCTGTTTCATGATCATTTTTAAATCTAATAGGCAAGTAGGTGATCAGCCTCTAGTGCCTGACACACGCCGTCGATTTTTGGGGTCCAAGACATGTCATTCCTCACGATGTTGTCCTTCACCGTTCGAGCAAATGTTAAATGCGCACATAGAAAGAAAGTCCATTGGGGCACAGCCGGGGATCGAACCTAAAACCTCAGGCATGAGAGTGGCACGCTGAAGCCACTAGGCCAACACTGCTCAATTATTATTAGTGATTACTGAATACACGAAACAAATCTCTTAATACCCACCGTAGTCTAAGTACAAGAACGCCGGCTTTATGTAATAATGTATCAGTTATATAAGTCATAACATACCATATTGACTTCTGAAATGGCATCAAAACTGGCGATCGTCAGATCCATGCCGACGTACAGTGGGTCTCCTGAAAGCAATAACGAATTATGCACGAGCCCGAACCGCTGACAGTCCATGTGTTTACCGAGCCAGCAATATCTTTTGTATATCACGCCATACGCTTCGGGGCATTCAATATTTCTCCATCTTTTCAGATCTCTTATCTTCATCGAACATATCAAGTAGGTATATGTAAAACAAGATTTATTGTATTAATAAAAGTTGCGTATAACGCGATGAAAATATTTCAATTTTTGGACAATTGAACAAATATAGAAATATTTGCGTAAATCTACACCGTTTGAGATTGTTAGTTAGTGACTTAGGTATATACGAGAAAAAATCACGTGGAGTTTGAGTGGATAATAGTATGTGTCGCTTAAATCGTTTCCGAATGAAAGCCCACAAGTTTTACATTACGACATTTCTGAATTTACTACCTTAGAAGTACATTTATTAATTTATTGACTGAATAGAACAAATATTAATTGTTACCCCCGAAGTTAGGTCTGAGTCGTATGTCATAGCCATCCAGGATGCGCGTCACGGTGTGTGTCACGTTCTCCATTCGATCCACGATGCGCTCGCGCGCGCTATCTAACCTGAAATGTATCAAATTATCAAATGCTCTTTTAAAATTAATTGAACACACTCATTAAGAACATCATTCATATCATTCAACGTAGAGCGGTTTGAATCGTCGATGAATTTCCGATAAAACCTTCAATATTATGCCTCTAAATTTATTAAAATTGTAAGTCGCAACGATCTTATCGCTAAATACTCAAAAGCGATTTTATTTATACCAATTATTTTGTATTACTTTGAACTGGCTGTGTATGCTTGTTATTTATTTTTAACCGTGTCTAAGTTGCAATTTATTAATGAATTACATATCAACCATACTCGCATTTATTTTGCTTTGTAAACAGAATTGCAGAACTCATTATTTATATTTTGCCGTAAAACATTACTCACATGGAGCTCTCTCCATATATTGGTGCGCAAATCGGGGTTTGATAACACAACTCCATCATTAAACGTTGCTCGATTATACAATAGGTCACCTGTCAAACACTAATTATTTTACTGCTAAGTTTATATTCCTTGCGACTATCAAAACATTAGTCACTACGCGAAATGTACACTGTTGAACAGGAGCCCCTTAGCGCATATATCTTAGCACAGTTCTATTAAGTATAATGTAAGTTTTACCTAAAAATGTTACTTGAACTATGTTCGTGCCTTTGTTTAGTTCCACCGCGGACCGCTCAAGTTTTACAAAATAATAAACATTTATTGATACTATTTTGTTAACATAACTAATCTACAAATTAGCATTTTAAAATATTTATAATGTTCCAATAATATTCTGTAGGTATGCAATTGTGTGTGTATTAAACAATACAGGGACTTCAGCAAAATATAAATGAAGAACCTTCGACTGTATTACTCAACCATATTATTTGCCAGTTAGCATTTTTCAGTTTCGAGGTCAACTCAAAATATCGGGCGGTACATTTTTACTTATTCTCATTTTAATTCCCCTGTGTAAAACAAGATTGATATCTCGCTTCGAGCTGATGCTAGTATATATTTCAGATTGTCTTTTTCAAAATGTTTGACGATTGTAATTATTTATTTTTTAATTAAAAATTTCATAGACAAGTATGTTATGGTAAATCTTCTTTTACGGACACATTTCGTCGATTTTTGGTCTACATCATCATCTTTATATATGAGCAAGTGTTGATTGGGCGCATAGAACGAAGAAAGAAAAAAACACACCTGGAATTTAAACCTACTACTACGGTTAAGCGTCGCTAGCACGCCCAAACCACTACGCCGTGTCGGCCTATTTTAGACTATAATTCTCTAAATACTTTACAATACATTTATGATAACAGCAAATATATAACTTAAAAATGATATTTACAGTGTAATGAAAAAAGATGGCCGTTTTTCGTGTTTTCTTGGACGTTGATTAAGGTCGTATCAGAGAGGCTCCTGTCAAATTACATCTCGAAGACGCGGACATACAAATGAGATTCCTCGCACGAAATTACCATTTAGCGTGAGGATTCAGCAAACTGAATGTGGAATTGAGTTACGGAACTCGGGACGGCAATTACTTCAATGGCTTTACGTGTAATTCCTCTCAACAAGCAGAACACCAATTAAGAACGGTTTAAGAATTTGCCAACCAGCTGTCGTTCTCCCTTAGATTTACCTAATTAATGGCTTCATAATTTACAATTCTTCTAATTCATATTTTACCATTTGAAATCAAAAATGCACACGCGTGTAGGTTATAGGAATATATAATATGAGTTTCGATTTTAATTTGGCAATTTTTTTAAAGAATAACATATGTAGTTACAACTTATTTCTTATTATATATTTTTACTATATTAATTAAATAAGAAATGCGGACGTTTATAGAGCCTTTGTCTATATAATTATACATATAGATAAAATTTAATTAAACTGAGTTTCAATATTTTCTGCTTACTATTTGAGAAGTATAAGTCATCACTCATAATATAGTACTTGAGTCGGACCTAACGCGTCGGCCGTCGGTACTACAGACAAGACACAAAAATATATATTTTACAACAAAATGTACTTAATAACTGCGTAATTAATAATATAAATACTTATTTAATTACTTAATTAAGAAGCATTTTACCGTTTTAATATTTCCTTGTTAATTAACTTTAGATATGTTTAATCCTTTTAGGAAATTAAGTCACAAACAGATTACTTATAAATAAACTAATTACTTTTAATAATTCCTTTATACGCTTATTTTATTGAATGAATAACCCAGTTAAAAACGAATACTTTACGCAGGTATAAGTTACGTTTTGTAGCTATTTAATGATAAAAATAAAGTACATTTAATACTTACTGAACTGGTACAAAAGTGAAAAACAATATGATAAAAATCATAGAGGCCGGCGCGTGCAGTGAGCACGAAGGGGACGTGCAACGCGCGATCATCGCACGACGGATCCGCGCGGCACTCGCATCGCGCGATCACCCACTCATTTACCCACAATTTAACATTATTTCAGAGTTAGTATGCGTATTGAGGACATTACGAAAGTACCTAACGTAAAGCGAGTTGCAAAGCTGTGACCGGCAGGAGCTTTCTCATCGGCTGAATCTCGCGTAATGCCGTCGCGCCTGCGCCACTACTTAGCGCTAAGTTTGCTAACTTTGTGATTTCCCTCCTTTTTTCTAAGAGAATAGGATAAGTAGATATCCGATTGCTTTGTCGACATCCATCCTTCAACTTGAATTTAAAAAGTCAGGTTATTTTACGACGTAGGTAAGACAAAGTAATTACATTATTTTAACCGACAATTATAATTATCAAAATTAAGAATTAACACTTCCATCTCGATTAAACAGTTTTATTGAGCAAGCAACCGAGAAACATTCAACAACTGTTAAACAATGTCAGTTGCATGAGTTAAAGCCTATCTTAAGCCCTCAGGAAGTGTCGTCGTCACACTTTAACATTTGCTTAAGATTTTCGGATATTTTTAGTCCATTCTCCGGCAAAAATTGTTGCGTGTCCAATAATGTTACAAATCTCAAAGGGAGTGTGGATACAAAGCTGGGAGCTTTTCGACTTTACTCCAAAAATATAGAACGAATTTCGACTGGATCACAATTCACAAAGGAGATTTATATGAATGTCTCGAGCGTTTGTGATATTTCATTGAAGATACCACTCACTACGTTTGATCATATCATTTCCAGTCGAGATGTCTTGGGATACCTTAATGCCATAACATCACCATATATTTTGATAATATTTATTAATGTACGTCACATATATTTATATACATTATTCTACAATGTAATTATGTATCTGTTGTTCAAAAAATATATGACGAAAAAAACGAAAAATGAATGTAAGTACAACTTTACCTTAATTATTTGAGTAATATTTCCCTAATGCGCTTTTTTTAAATGGACCAGCCCACTACCGAATATTTACAAATTGATTGCGATGAGTTAATTATAGAGTGGTCAAAACTATGTCTTACCTCAAGTTATAGCTCTTCATATAATGGCTCAATCTCATAAACATAAGCTTTAGTACAAAGAGGAGAGTGAGGTGGGCACTCGAGATAATGTGGTCATTTAAACGGTCTCATTGTTTCTCCTCAAAACCGCACTTTCACGTAAAATCTTTGAACTGTTTACAACCCTCTATTTTACTTATTTTACTATTTCTTTATTTTCAGTTTTAGAAAGAAATTTAAAAGCGAAGAATAAACGAAAGTAGTTTAACTGAAAGAAGGACGATGATTTAAAAAAGTAATGTCGATTTTGGACTAAGTAAAAGATAAAACTCAACTTTTATAAATGAAATTATTATAGAAACTGAAGAAATAACTAGAATAGATAAATATACAATTTATTCGACCATACAACACTATTTCAGATGTCAGCCACTGGTCACTCTAATTCTGTGGTAATGGAGTCTTATGACGATAATAATGACACTTAATGCAAAATATAACTTAAGTTTTAAACACTTTACATATAAATGAAATTAAAATAAATGTTAGTCGTTGAAAGATCCACGACATGCTAATTGAAATTCTGCTTGAGCTAGGCGTGATCAAATTTACATTTTAATCCATTATTAAATCTGTTATAGACCAAACTCAATTACGTGGTTGAAGCAAAATGCATTTTTCATTCAGACATCGTGACACATTAAATTAAGCATAGTCTCAAATTCCGTTTCTAGTTTTAGGCCCGCTTTAAAACAAAAATGGTCGCTTAATAGGTCTTTACTCGGCATCTTATCAGATACGTATTTTTTCTTAGTTCTGTACTGTATCGATAACGAAACCTTCTCTATTCAAGGAAACGCGATACAACCGAGAAACCGCCTAATTAATAATCAAAGTTTTTAAATTCAATAATTAAGTATCATAATCACTCGTGTAAGGTTTCAATAATTGCCTATAATTATCTATTAAGTGTACGTATTTTAAGCCAGCGCATCTCTCGACACCCGCAGCAATCAGCTATGCTATTGGGAATTCGTCATTTAGCGGCCATTGTTTTATCCAAGATTTTGAATCAGTAATACTGCAAATAAAACAAGTCACTGCGCTAAAAGATAAATCTGCAGTTTTAATAGCTCCTAATCGTAGCTATCAGAATGGTATGCTGATTTTGTATAAGAAATAAAGTTATTCATACATTGCAACATTCTTAAGACGACATGAATATTCATATTAATTCTCAATTTCTATAGAACGGGCGCATCGCAGCCTCGAACTTGAAACTATTAATTCTAACTCAAGCGTAAGGCATGTTAAGTTCGTAATTATGATACATTTCTCGTAAATTAAAAAATATATATCATTAAAAACCTCAACTAAAGCTCTCGTAATTATCTTATATATTTTGGAAGTTACTAGAATAAATAAACACGTGATAAATATTTAGAAAGTTTTGATTCTGTCTAATCAAAAAATGTTGGCGCATGCGTATTACAAGGATCCGTTGCTCTAGACAGGCTCTCAGGGCGCGAACAAGACGTCCAACATCTCGTGCTTATAAAGAGCCTACACGCGATACAGAAAAAGCCCTAGTTTTCATAAGTTCTCTGACAAATATCTATAATGATCCGAGCGCTGTTTTTAAAAGTTCTAGTGGTCTTATGGTAAGTTTTTTCTTTTGTTTATAACTTTATAATTGTAGACATTTAGTTGCTCATTACTAACTACAGTGATGAAGGGTTTATTAATAACAGATTATTTTAAAATGTTCTTCATATATATTCTAAATAATAGAACACAACTCAATACAATTGTTACCCTCGTCAAACTCAAGAACTATTATATGTAAAATAGACATAACATAGACCATAATATAAAACCTGTCCGTGATTAGATATTAAACGTTTATCGCAGTTCAAATCGATTCTAGATGTTTTATTGGTTATTTATCACCACTTTTAACTTGAACGAAAAACCCCTTCCGCAATACGTTCGTTTAAAAAGATTTCAGCTGAAAGCACCAGAAGTTACCTGATCAGTTTGAGATCTTGTGGATTCGAGTTGTGGTTAGCATACGTAAATTCTAAAATATAAGATGCATACATCTACTTAGGTATAGAGTAATCAAAGTTGTAGGAAAACGAACAATGCCGAAGCGAAAATAATGAACGAGGCTTATTTTGTGTTAGTCTTTTTACAAAATTCTTTGCTCAACATACGTTCCGCAATTAGACGTATTCTGTACGGAAACTATTGAATATAATAACCAGCTTCAAGTTCTTAGTGATTTAAAATCCATCTCATTGAAGCCGTTATTCAACAGTTTGAATACTGAATGTATTACCGCAAAATGCTTATTGAATTATTAGAATGCACGTTGCGTTGTTTAACAAAAGCTTTCGAACAAATAAACTGAATGCTACCTTTAATGGTATTTTCATATCAAGTGCAACCAAAGGTTTTTTTTAATTAATTAATAGTTTGGTACATTTTTATAATTACTTGCTTAAAAACCTAGTCTAGATAAAAACTAAAAGCCAGTTGGAATATGTATAAAGTATCGCGCGATATAATATAAAGTAGTCTATATATGTATTTTTTTATTATCCCTTATAGTCAAGTGGGCGCAGTTATTTGTGACATATACGTTGTATCACATTTTCTTTTCTTGTACGAGCTACAAAAAATAAAAAAGAATCCATAAGTAGAAAGTCGGCGTTCACGCACAAGAACAATTGCTGTCGAAGTTGAAATAAAATTTTGTTTTATAATAAATGCTTTTTGGTGGCAGATGTTAAAAATGTATCTTATCTATTTGTGTTTTTGCAATTTATTGTACATACGCATTATTTACAGACTTATTTAAACCTATTTTAAAGGTTCATATTTGTCTATTAAATTTTCTGAAACCACAGTAAAAGATAAATAGAAAATATAATACTTGGCCGTATATTAATTATGTATACATATTGAAACCTCGACAACATCGAGGTAAGTGTAAATGCAAATACTTTTTACATATTCCATACAATCTGAATAATTTCCAAGTGCTTCACAAACCATACCGACATATCAGAATATTATTGATATAAATTCCGTTGCTAATAAAGGTTTAACGGGTATTTTGTAGCTTCTAAATATTTTTTCTGAAGATTCATAAAATTTCTGTTGTGATGAGAAATTTTCATTCCCTTGCTTCAGTTAATGGTAAAGTACAAAAGATTTTTTAATTACGTCACAGCTTACTGTAGACTCTAGCGATGAGGCTAATATTGTACTCAATAGCTTTATTCCTTAATACTCAACACTAATATTATCTTCCCTACTCACTCTTTGTACTGTTTTATTTATAAAAGTTCTTTTTGTCAATTTGTGTTTACGCTGTAAAGAAAAGAAACAGATGAATAATTTAGTTAAAACAATAATTGATCGAAGCCAATCCGTCCTTGAATTATCTGTTTCATAAATGCGGATCCTAATGACATTTATAATAAAAGATGATGTATCTGAATTATTGCATCCCCTGAAAACTCTAGTACATTAGCGTGTTGATGCAGTGTCAGATCTTTGGGTGACGCCTACATGAAGGTTGATTGTGATGACGTTATGCAATTTTCAATCCTGAGATGGGGATCCTGTTCCTGTTGCCTTTGTAGCCGGTCTTTGACAGATTTAGTCAAGCCAAAATTCATCAAGTGTTCATCATAAATCTAGTGGAGATCTTATAAATAAAAGAAATAATTGAAATATTTTTATTAGACCCATCTAGTTAAGTTTCTCTAATAAGAAAACCACAGCTACTTTCAGTGCCTGGTAAAATACATATGGTGGATAGATATTTACTGTAATGAGATAGGAATTACTTCAAAATGTAGTTCGATCGTTCATTGTAGTCCGTAGACCGGAAGTAAGCTGCATACATTGATAGATTAGGATGGAACGTTATTGAAACGCAAGCGAATGCTCAACCTAACATCCTGCATGTTTACAGGATACTTCATCATGAAATTGAGGTCAAACTTGCCCTATTTTAAAGACACAACAAACCTAAAATTTAATATTATTTATCCACGTTTAACGTAAATGAGAAACATGCTCGGTCGCGCGCATATAAACAAATATTATTTACTGAATGCAATTCAACTCTTAGGGAATACGCTTTATATATATGTTACACACACGTACAAAACCAATTTTTGAGGCACATCTATCTTAGGATGTACGGTGTGTATCCTTTTTACCCACTCATGTATCCGACATTATTTATTCTTGGTTCTGTGGGCTACATCGAGCTAACAGTACGCCGAGAATTCGCGCTAGTGATGTACTTCCTAAAATTGTTACATGGCAAGGACACTAATTCGGCAGTACTTCAGTACATTAGCTTCAATGCACCTGATGGGTACGTCAAAAAGCGACATCTTCCGCCGTTATTTCATGTGCCCACAGCTAGGACTGACCTTCTGAAAGGGGCACATATGATTCAGTGTATTAATTTAGTTAATGAATTACATAGGTTAACGGACCTTTTTCATTGTCCGTTTAGTGAACTGGCAAAAGTTCTTTCATTTGTTAGTGCCTATAGTAGTTAGTTACTTTCTTGTATTTTTTATTATGAAATAGAAAAAATGTTTTATTATGAGAAATGGAAATTAGAGATACATTACATAGAGTTTGTAACAACATGAGAGGCCGGGCGTTGCATACGAATTCAATAAAATGTTAGCTATCTTTTGCCCGCGAGCAAATCACATCCTTTGCGCTTATCAGTCGCTCGATGTCTATTCAAGAAACCTTTTAAGATCTTCGCCCTACGCATTTTAAGAGTATTGAAATTTATGAGTTCCCTTTGAACGCTTTTGACATCAGCGTGACGAAAAGAGTTTCAGATGTTGGATTTTATTTAATTATGCCTCGAAGCAGAATGTTCTGTGAATGTTGCTTGGGTCACGTTTTTAAAGAAATTTTACGACATGTTCTGCTAAAGCTGTGGAAAAGTTAAATGACTTCCTGAAGTTTTATTTGACGATTTATTAAAACACAACTCATAAAATAAGCATTTTAAGAGTTGTGTCATCAACATCATGCCAAAGAATCATTGTCAAAGTGGCCATCATCATCTATTCGATTTGTGATTTCTTATTTAACCTTTCTAAATGACCTTCATTTATGTAAGGAGCGACGACGAATACATATGTCTTCTCATTGTTACAATATAATAAAATAAAACATGAATAAACTCACTTAAAATACATTGAAAACAACAAGCTCCATTCTACAAGCGAACAATACCAAAAATCTGAGTTGGCATATTACCTGCAATGCAATCTTCTTAAAGAAATTGAAATATTTATTATTAAATGGCTTTTTGCTCGAGCTTCGAAGTTTCAGTTATTTCACCGTAATTTTAGAATAAAATCAATTATCTCTACAACAATACTTTTTACGTAATTGATTAAGGTATAGCTTTCTGTCATTGTAGTGAGCCACACGATATCTAGAATGAAATTAGTGGAATAAGTTTGTTGGATGTTGCCTGTAACATAAACACCAAGATCGATTTATTATTACTTTAAATTCTCGTCTTCAACCAATAAGGAAGGAAGGAACAATTGTTTCTAGCTTTGATAGCTTTCTATCAGCGTGAATCCTGTAAGTCAAAAAGGTGTTGGATGTTGATTTACCTGGGTCATACTTAGCAATAATTCTGCATTGAATCTTATCCTAAGTAAACGTATTATTTTAAATGACCTCTTACCAGACTATTTTTCTAATAATGTTAAACCCGCTCGCTGATGCGTTACCTCTGGCTGCTCGGTGGCTTAAAGGGTCATTAGATAACTTGACACGCTGCCAATTAATTATCGAGCGAGATGACGAGTCAATGTCAACGACCATTTTACTTGAAATGCAAACGATTATAGATGAAAGTCAAGTGACACATGTATTTTTAACTTTATATCTTAACTATTCAAGCTCACCTAAACCAGTCTAATTACACTGGGTTAACTAAAGGATTTCATCGTCGTTTTCTTTAAATAAATTAAACTCTCTCGCTATTTTCTTTAAGTACATTTAATAGTACTTATACGTAGACTTTGTTTTTGTGAACAATAGTATGGTAGTTTTATGAATATAATAAGAGTAAATTAATTGACTGATTTTTTAAATGTTTTTATTAAGTAGTAAAGAAACGTAAATAATAAACAAATTTTTAGTTTATATTTATCATAAGAAAATATAATATTTTAATAAATATCACCTATCACATTAGCTGATTGAATCATTGTTATAATTTTAAAAACATACAATAGTGTTTGGGCTCTTTAAATTTTCTATAATAGATGAGGTTTCAGTTATATAGACAGTTGACATAACAACGGACTTATATTGTTATTTAAATGTTATTTACCTAGGTAACACTGAAAATGTTTATAATATGAAAAACGGCTTAATGTAGAAAGTAAAATAATAATAATAATAAAAAAAGTTGCCAATACTTTTATTGTTTTTGAAGTAATCTCCGTTCCTCTCTACACATCGTAGCACAACTGTCGCGAAATGACCTTTCCGACCAAAGAATGAGGCAATCATCTTTTTTCCTTGAATTCTTCCTTTCTTTACCTTAGTTGGCCGATCCTCGAAAGGAAACACCCACTGAGCTGATTGTCTTTTGGTTTCGGGGTCGTAGCAATATATCCAGATTTCATCACCTGTGACTATGTCAAATACAGCATTAGAGTCACCACCGTTGAACTTATCTAACGTTTGGCGACACCAGTCCATGCGAAGGTATGGTCGTCGGTTAAAGTATAGGGAATCCATCTGGTACAAAGCTTCCTGACGCCTTAATGTTTGTGTAATAGTTTTTGAATTTGACTCATACCAATCCTAGGCTTGCCCGTATCCGGTGATAGGTCACACTCTTATCTTCCTCTATCATGCGTGGCACAGCATTGATGTTATCTTCAGAAGTCGCTGATAAAGGACGTCCCTCGCGTGGATCATCGTTGAGATTGCTACGTCCACGTGTAAACTCGTTAAACCAATTGTAAATAGTGGCACGAGAGGGGGATTTATTAAGAAATGCTAATCGCAGCCTATCATAGCTTTGTTGTTGAGTAAGCCCACAACGAAAGTCATAATAAATCATTGACCGAAAATTTTCTCGCGTTAGGTTAATTTTTACGTGTAACAAGAGTTTTAGATTTGCCGCCAATTCACAAAAAGAAATAACAAATAAATATATTACATTAGGTTACCAAAGAGTTTTCAAATTGAAATTCAAAAAAAGTTTTCATTAGCAATGTTTCTAACTGGCCAGTTCTAAACATTTTCAGTGTTACCCACGTATACTTGCCAAACCGATGCTAATACAGAACTATCATAAGTATGAGCCATGGTTTTCATAGCGGCTGCTATTTTTATAGTTGACACGTAATAAAGACAAAGGCTATTAATCTTATGGAGCAAGTTTAGCAGACAATTTACCTGTGTATAGATATATTATTTCTTCGGTAGCGGGTCTTCGCTGATTGTTAACTGTGATACTTTTAATTTTTCCTGATTTTAACTGTATTTAATGGCCATTTAAGTGCCAATGAGGTATTTGTCATTGCTTGAAACCGTCTTTTTGTCATATCGAATAGACGGAAGTGTTCATCTATATTTATAATAAATGTTTAGATTTAGACCCAAATCATTATTTACCTTAAAAATTAACAAAATATAACATTGAATGTATGGAATCCATAGCACACCGTTAAATAAGAATCGGTTTAATGTCGAAAATGCTAGCAACTAGAAACTCGGGGCAGGAATGTGTAATAAACCCGCTGGAATTTGCTTTGAAGTAAAATGCTTCAGGTGGTGTATTACAGGTGTATTCCAATTTCTCAAAACTGTAGGAACAATAATTCGTGCCATATTATTAGTACAACCAGGTGTCTTTGCCGTCCAATTTCGTACACAAATTCGTTACCGCAGCGATCGTTCTCGTAAGAGATGAAATACAAAACAATTTTATCTTTTCTCCTAGTTTTGTTGAGATCGCAACACAAAGGTTCATACACGACACGTATAAGTACGAGCCAAGTCTGAATACAGTCAGGGTCCCTGGGCTGAATGCAGCGAGATACTTATAATTGTAACCTTTGTTTCCATTCTCTAAGAAATTGGATTTATTTATTTTTATCTCAGCAATTCGAGACATGGCACCAAAAATCATTTTTTTACCAAATTGGCCTGTCTTATATCGTTCTACAATGACACCGTCTTCGCGTGCCATTCTGACATTTTGTATGACAATCTCATAATAATTACAAACAGCAATTATATTTTATTAAAATATGTAAAAATACCGTATATAATTATATGTGATAATGGGGATATCAAATAAAACACGAGCAAAAATAGTATTGAATTCAAAAAACACACTTTCACTTTAATTTCTGAAAATGATTTACAGAACTTAAATAATCCCTCATTATGGTTTTGTATCGACGTATTCAGAAATGATGGAAACCGTCGGAATTATTAAAATAACGCATCGAAATGAAATAAAACATCGATGGACAATATAATTTGAAAGATGGATAAAAAGGCTTAACAAATGTATGATTTGGAATTATTCGTCGAGCAATATTTACCATACTTTGGTCATGCCCTGATGGCTTTGGGATATATCTTAGAGGAGATTGATAGTTTTCAGCCTCCAGTACCGAGTGCGGTTGTTCTCATCGGTCACCTCTGCGTTCTCACGGACCCTCGAACCTTAACAACAGAACAAGAAAGTGTACGAATTTTGAATATTATATTTCTAATAAGTAATCTACTAGTGTTCGTTTACGATTTTGTTCTGGCTCTGGAGTTCAATATGCCGCCTATAAATGAGCTAGATCAATATATGGGATAGGACATAATTTCATTGTTTGAAATTTAAATATTTTACTATATAAAGCTCATTGGCGATCTATTCGAGTAACATTAGTATAGTGTGATTTAATTTGTTTTCAATAACTTTGCTGTTGTTTTATAAATAAAATTATTATCCCCAATCGAACCTGTTTCATATAATCATTTTATGTCAAATTATAAAATAGAAAGTTCTGATAAGTATCTATTGTAGGTTTTATTGGTTATGTTATGATAAACAGGCATATGCCCCTGAAGGTATGGGTTCGAATCCCTTCGACACGATAATTCTTGGAGGAGAAGGTCAGTTAATAAAAAAGTTTATGATATAGACACAAAAGTGGGGATAACGGGCCAGATAACGGGGATTCGGAATTCCGTATTTATCGTTTTTGGATAAATGACCTGAAGGAAAACCAGAATTAACAAATGCAGTTGTTGTACTAAAGCCTCATTGTCAAACTGTTATCTGAAAGTGAGTTGACAAATTGTATACTTCGTTGAAGAGTTCTCTTTTAAAAGAGGTTCTTGCGAGCAATGAGAGCACGAAATCGCGGCTTTGTCGCTTCACTTTCAAATAAATTATTGAAACTCGGGAAATACACTTTAAAATCCAATGCTTAAACAGAAGCTGAAAATTAATAATTAACTCTTTATTGAATATTACAAAGACATCATAAATTCTGTCGATGCTCTTATTTGATATTTTCCATCATTTTCTTTCCTATATCTAATCTAATATATAAAATTATCATGTCACAATGTTCGTTTCCATACTCCTCCGAAACGGCTCGACCGACTCTTATGAAATTTTTTATGCATATCCTATAAGTCTGAGAATCGGACAACATCTATTTTTCATCCCCCTAAATCTTAAGGGTGGTCCCACCCCAATTTTTTTTTTTTTTTGATACAACATACAAAAATACATACAACCCTTAATTGTCACCTCTCTATGATCAACGGGTCAGCTAGCATAATAATAATAATTAACATTCGAAAATCCTAATCGTAATATAATAGTATCATGTGGTAAACTTGAATATATAAATAAATATGAGAAGGAATTAACGCTCGCTCGTAGGGTGATGGAACCAAAAAGTCGAGGGCGCGTGAAATGCACAGAAGGCTGTCTTACTTCCCAATTTAAAAAAAATACAATGAAATAGATACAAAAGCCCAGCATCACTGGTTTTTTTATTGATCCTGTTTCATCTCAACTCCTAAATAAATGGAAAATATTTCAAATAGACACCAATTTAATTAGTTAAATAGTACTTTCTTATGTGATCAAGTATGTGCTCCAGATAAAATGTAGGATCTAAATAAAAGTAGTAAAATTCTAAGGAATTGCATAATTTAGAATTTTTATACAGAACAGGGACAAGCGATGAATTCTCTCAATACCAGAGGGCTCGTTGCTTGCCTTTTAAGATTTAGTACAATCTTTTCTTGAAGGACCCTAAGTCCTATCTTTGCGTTAAAGTCATCTACATTGTTAACAACTTTATAGCTAACACAAATATTTTCTTACCAAATAGAAGAGTGGTGGAATTGTTACAGCACAGCTGATGTCGACCACCAACATTCAAAAAGATCCTTTATAATATATAATGTACAAAAATTATTTAAAAATTGTTACTTGCTGTAGGTTTAGTTACTTTGTAAATAAACTTTTCTACTAAAGATAGATTAAGTTGCCGTACATTTAGGCAAGAGTTTATCACGGTTCGTTAGGAGTTTACTAAGCTTCCCAAAAACTTTTCTCGTCTTTTTCTTAGTGAAATTATAAGATATGGGCTTCAGCTCCTTTAACGTTGAATAACCGAGACTCTTATTGGCATTAAATAGCCATTTTAGTTTACCCTGGATTCTTACATTGCTTTGCGAAGATGATTCTTTATGTTTAAATATGTAGATACGTTTTATTATTTTAAGAATAGTTTCAAATTGGGTCAAACGGATTTGTTTTTAAAAAATGAAGTTAAGAAGGCTTACTTTCATTTTTTTCTGGATAAAATGATTTCGGTAGGTATTTTCAGCAAAACTCGTCTAAGTGAGCACTTAAAATCGTAAGTAGGTGCTCGGAGACTGAGGATCTTGCGAAAAAAACATCTTTTTATTTTTCATTGATGTTACACTCACTTTAACGAGACCCGAAACAATTAACATTCGATAAATTAAGTTATAAGAACGTTTTAAGTTATGTCTGGTTATTCGTAAAAGGTAGATAAATAGTACAGGAGTAATACAGAACAATATTATTATTCTTATTTGATCTATAAACCAACTACTAGCTTATTATATCTGTCTCTGTAACTCAGTGGTTACCGCACTCGGTGCATCAACCCCTGGTGAAACAACATATGTTTTCAGGCGAATCAGAAGAATCTCTGGCGACATTTGGTGTTGTTTGCTTATATAAATATCCTTAATATATATACACATAATAGCTATATATAAAATTTGTATTAAATAAACTTAAAAGTGAGTATTTGATATAAGTAGAGCGTGCAATCATTTTGATTCAGTGTGAGCATATGAAGCAATCACAGCGTGCCAGGGTCCAATTAGAATTACGGGAATTGGAACAGCGATGAACGTCTTCATGATATTAAACTTATATCTTGGAGATTTTTTCTGTTTCTGCAACACATTTAAATTATACATGATTAATGGAGGGAACGGCAACTTATTTTATTTTTCAGATGAAACAGCAAATTCGCTTTCTATTATTCCAATAGCATAAAATTCATTGGAAAATATCGGCTACACGTGTAGTAAAGTGTACACAACACTTCCCATGAATAAATATTTCGTAACCTTTCAAACCGCGGAGCTATCAAGGAATGCTTTAACATAATCTAAAATAAAAAGCCCTTTCGCGTACATCTGCCGCAGAGCTTATGAATATAATTTTTATCGTTTTTGAAAGGTTTTAGGTATTTTCTTTATCTCAAATAAGATATAATTCAGTGTAAAGGATAATGATCGAAATACGTTTAAGCCTTACCCAAAAAGGTACGAGTAGACGTCATGTTTGTGTATCTATGATATCTTGGATCCCACAAATGTTGTCATTACTTTTCTCTACAGATTACACAAACAAACGGGTAGGAGGCTCGGCTCATCTGATGTTAAATGATACCGCCGCCCATAGAGATTCTCAACCGCGAAACTGAACGTCGTACGATATGTCAAAGCCAAGTATTCTGATGCACGCTGTGGCTTTAAGAAGAGTGTGTTCAAAAAGAGGAATAACGATAAAGGGAAACGAAAACGTTTTTAGCGGAAAACGAGCAAACTTGGGTTCTTGGGGTTAAATTGCACCAGGTTTAGTTCATAACATGAGTAAGGTATACAAGGTCATCAGCCAAGCGACCACTGACCATCTCTAATTAGCTAGTGGCCCTCTAGATACTACAGGAGCTGGCCGTTAATAATGGTTTCCTTATTTTGGAGAACAAGGAGGTTATAGCTATTGAGCGATAGTTGGACGGATCAGAGCGATCGTCTTTGTAGGGGACGGATGTATTGAAGCGGTCTTGTAGCACTTCAGGGCATTGCCAAACGAGCTAGACTTATGTTATTCGCGTCATTGCGGAGACCATTTGTGTCAGGTCACATAGCAAGGAGAAGTCATGAAAAGACCCACCCAAGTATCACGACTACGGCGGACGCGATCTTTTCGAACAGGAAATCTATAGCCATTTAGATGTACTCAATGACTCGGTCAGCCGGCATCTCCACTATGGGATGTTGGGCTACATACGTACATACGCGAGTACAATAAGATGAACCTATTCCATCACGTGCGACAGTGGTACTGCCCCGGTCGTACCTGCCCATTTGGCTGTAGCCATCGGGCTTCGAGTTTGCTATCGAGCAACAGCATGGGACTCCCACTAGGAAAGGTGTTGACTGATGGTGTCACTGGTAAAATAACCTCTGTCACAGGTTATTTCACCATCGTTTGGGTCTTGGATCAACTTTATTTAATTATTTAAAGTGTTGGACAAATAATACAGTTTTATTTCGACTATAAAAAGATTTAAGATTTTGCTGGTTTTTTTCTGTGAAAAACATAATCGTTTTAAGAAAGATATTTCTTAAGAAATGAAGCGTGATATATGAAAAATACCATTAAACTGATCACTCAGATCAGCGATATTCTATCTCTAAATTAGTAAAGGAATAGCGATCGTAAATATATTTGTTTGGAAGATTAAATGAGATTGGCGCTACTTTTATTATTATCAGTCAAAGATGACGGCCGAGAGCTTCGAAACTTTGATTGATGATTGACTCATAAGGATTAAAACAAAAATTAACGAAATTGTATGATAAAAGTTGTACTCATTTTAAAAATCCTCAAAATTCTATGAGAATATAACTCCTTTAATAAAACGAAATCTATAATTTTACTTTATCACAGCGTAAAGTGCACTTGCAAGAAAGCGACAAATAAGTACTTAGATGGAACAATGTAGTTAACTACATTTAGTTTTAATGAGTATGACTTTTGTCATTATATATTGGTTTTCTTGAATTTGAACATCCCTGTTAAACGAATAGAAAATATATAGAAGAAATCCTTAGAAAACTGTTTAGTAAAGCAACATGTATTGTCCACAAAATATATTAAATATATTTTCTCATAACCAGGACAAAAGTTGATGCGAAGGGAGCGGTCTACTTGACAACTGAAAATGGAACATTTCCCATATCACTGACATCCTTAGACCCCGACAGCTCGACGGTAGATTTTCCAAAGATTTTCTCAGCAACAGTTGAAAATCGTGAAAACGAAAGTGCACTTTGGCATGAATCACAAGACGATATGTTACTCACTTACTTTAATACCACGTTCAATGAACTGAACAAAACCGAATACGATGCAAAGGTGAACCAGAAACGTAGCATCAATGATGCGGTATCGAAAAATATTACAGTGGTTTTAGAAAACTTATTGAAGAATTATGAGAAGTCACAGCTCCCGACACACGGGAAAGGTCAGTGAAATATTAAAATCGTTTTAGTATTATTAAACAAAGAGCAGTGTTGGCCTAGTGGCTTCAGCGTGCGACTTTCGTCCCTGAGGTCGTAGGTTCGATCCCCGGCTGTGCACCAATGGACTTTCAGCTTTCTTTACTAACGGTGAAGGAAAACATCGTGAGGAAACCGACATGTCTCAGACCCAAAGCGCCGCTGATATATATTATTTAACAAAGTCAATTTTATTATAATGCTTATTTAAATAGAAAATAATGTTATATATGCTTATAAAGATACCTCATTTAGGTACAGTTTAATATATTTGATCACAAGATTCTCATCGCTAAATCATATTTCTTTTCTTATTAGAGACTCTGCCACACCAACAAAACTTTTTAAATTTCTTTCAGTGTTCTGTCTGTCTGTATTTACTTTAAATAATAATCTATATATATATAATAAAACTAAGTCGATAAAATGTGCGTGCCGATAAAACTTAAAAAGGAGTCCCGACACGATAAAGGGACTTATGTAGTGTGATAGCCCTTTATCCCCCCCTCGAACAAGAAAGTTCCCGTTTTAATCTAAAGGGCATGTTTTTAAAGATATATAAGGGAATTTCCGACCCTTCAACTTGGAAATTAAGTGCAGTGACGCCATCTGTTATCGAATATTTGAACTTCGTTCAAGACAACGATTGTTTGGGTTGCATTTCCAAAAGCGTTGCGAGCAATTGTAGCATGTGTAGTAGTGACACGAAATTTAAAATTCCAATTTCAACAGTCTTAAATTTAATTTGTTGCTATAATAAAGTTATTAAATTTTGTGTATTTATACGTCATTAGCTAACTTATATTTTGGAGTTAAAGCGACATAATTTTAGCTATCCAAATTAGTTCTCAAAACATTAAAAAAAGTGGTTATTTCAAAGAGCAATTTTGGCCACTAAAAATAATATTGTTGACGATATCAATTTTAATATTCTAAAGAAAATACCTGGTGAAGAGAAAATATATAAATCGATCGACACGATGGTATCCATTGAAGAAAGTGTCAACTTCCCCACTGAATTTCTAAACTCTTTACAAGTACCAGGAATGCCATTACACTGCCTTCGTCTGAAAATTGGAACTCCAATCATACTACTCAGAAATCTCAACTCCCCAAAATTATGTAATGGAACTAGAATGATCGTAAAACAGCTATCGAATAATATCATTGAAGCTGAACTTATTTCTGGAAAGACCAAAGGACAGACAGTATTTATACCTAGAATACCTCTGATCTCTTCGGAATTGCCATTTCAATTTAAAAGACGCAATCAATTTAAAGCAGTTTCCAATAAAATTAGCCTTTAGTTTTACAATTAACAAAGCGCAAGGACAAACTTTAAAATATTGTGGCACTAACCTCAAAGAATCCTGCTTCTCTCACGGTCAGCTATATGTAGCTTGCTCAAGAGTAGGAAATCCGAAAAATTTATGTATATACGAGTATACTCCGGACAATAAAATGAAAAATGTTGTTTATAAACAAGTATTGTAAATAATGAGAAAACGTTTTCAATAAACTTTTTTTTTACTTTTTACGTCATAGTTTATTTTTTTATTTCGACTCTACCACGTCATCTCATATCTACTCCCGGGCGAAGCCGGGACTTTTAGCTAGTTATTATATAAATCTAAGGTTGTGAGTTTAATAATAATAAATAATACATTTTCAGGTTACCCTACAGTGGTCCAAACTAATATTCTCATACGCAGTATGGGTCCGGTGTCTGAACTAGACATGGTAGGTTTTGTCACAATATTTATTTAAGTTTTGTTAGTTTGACAATATTCAGTACATTTGAAATCGAATCGAGTCGGAATAACTTTCAGGATTATTCAATGGACTGTTATTTCCGTCAATACTGGCGGGACACGCGCCTGTCGTTCCTCGGCCCAATACGATCATTGTCACTATCTATCAAAATGCTGGAGAGGATCTGGCGACCCGACACGTACTTCTATAATGGAAAGCATTCTTACGTTCACACAATAACTGTACCTAATAAGTTGCTGCGAATTAGCCAACACGGAGACATATTATATTCTATGAGGTAATAATATATTAAATTGTTAAATGTATTTTATACATGTTTTTGTATAAATATACTCGTAGGTACGAGTAGTATAAACGAGATAAAGTTTATAAAATATAGAATAAAACCCAGTTTATAATTTTATTGCTTTTAATTGTGTGTTTTTTTTTCATTCTAAATATTTGTAATATACAATACTAACAATATAAAACAAAAATAGAGAAAATGTATTGATCATTCAATCATTATTGTGATAAAAATAACGTAAATTTTGTAATTGAAAGCAGACTTAATTGAATTTATAGTTAGGCTTTGAGGATTAATGTCTATTACACAAAGCCAATCAATTGTTTGGAAAATAGTTTTTCCAACGCATATGTATTATAATGAAGATAAGCTTTCCATTAAAGCGCTTACTTTCGTTTAATTAAAAACTACTTCATTCTAGCTTTATTGGACAATTATATTGATTTTAGTTTACGCGGGTGTAAGAAAAACAGTGTAAGTACACAACCATTCAGTGTACTTAGAACGTAGTAGATGAAAAGTGCTATATCAAATGATCAATCAAAAAGTTGAAAATTAAAAAAAGTTAAATAATTGTCTCGTGCTTGGCGCTCCATTAATTTCGTCGACGCTTAAACAAAGTCCGCCATTTTAATTGGCAGCGAGAAGAATGCGCCCACTCAGATTTCAGAACTGATTGCTTTACGAGTTGAAACTCATTAATTATTTTATAATTTAATTAATTACTACCTAATACGGTATTCACTATTAATTTAATAAAACTTTAACTATTTTTCAATAATTAACCTTTCATTATTTGCATCGTTTATTATTTAAAAAGCAATTTAAAAGCTATTTAATTATTTCAATGTCAAAAAATAAAGTTAATCTATTTTTTTTAAATAGTGCAACTGTTTTGATATTTCTCTCCAGTACTCAAAACTGGTTTTGTAGCTTATACGGGCCTAGTAGACTATAATGAACCCGTATTTCAACAGATTGACTATTAAGGCCAAATGTCCAATGGAACTTCGAAATTTCCCAATGGATCGTCAGTCATGTCCGCTGATACTTGGAAGCTGTGAGTACAAACCCTATCGATTTTTGATAATCGCCGATCTGAATTATTAGAGCGTGCTAAATCTGGTGGAACACAACAGATCCTATTGAGCGTATGTTTTGACGAACAGAATTCAGATTTAAACCGATTTGTAGTAATATTTACTAGCTTAACAAAGCATCTTCTAATCTAATCCTTTAATGAATGTACAGGCATTTTTTAAGTAGGTGAGCGACTGTATTTCAATTATCATTTAACTGGAAAACAAATTGTGTGTTCTAATAAGATGCACATGGGCCAATAATCCACAGCAGTTTAAGTAATTAATATTTAGTGAAGTAATAAAGTGTTTTTTTTTTTTTTTAAAAAGAACGGGGGCAAACGGGCAGGAGGCTCACCTGATGTTAAGTGATACCGCCGCCCATGGACACTCTCAATGCCAGAGGGCTCGCGAGTGCGTTGCCGGCCTTTTAAGAATTGGTACGCTCTTTTCTTGAAGGACCCTAAGTCGAATTGGTTCGGGAATACTTCAGTGGGCAGCTGGTTCCACATAGTGGTGGTGCGCGGCAAAAACTTCCTTGAAAAACGCTCAGTTGTGGAACGTCGGACGTCGAGGTGATACGGGTGGAATTTCGTATTCTGCCTCGACGTCCGATGATGAAACTCAGCTGCAGGTATTAATCCGAACAACTCCTCTGAACACTCTCCATGGTAAATGCGGTAGAAGATGCAGAGTGACCCCACATCTCTACGCAACGCCAAAGGATCAAGCCGCTTGGAGAGGGATTGGTCGTCGACGATTCGAACCGCTCTGCGTTGTATACGGTCAAGTGGAAGGAGCTGGTACTGGGGAGCCCCCGCCCAGAGGTGAGAGCAGTACTCCATGTGGGGCCGAATTTGCGCTTTATATAGTTGCATGCGGTGGCCCGGAGTGAAGTACCGTCTCGCCTTGCTGAGCACACCAAGCTTTTTGGAGGCTAATTTAGCCTTTCCCTCCAAGTGACCGCGAAACTGAACGTCGCTCGATATGTCAACGCCAAGTATTCCAATGCTGGCTGTGGCTTTAAGAAGAGTGTTTTCGAAAAGAGGAGTAGCGACAAAGGGTGTTTTTTTAGCGGAAAACGCGCAAACTTGTGTCTTTTTGGTGTTAAATTGGACTAGGTTTTGTCTGCCCCAATCTGAGACTCCACGTAGTAGAGTTTCGACTTCAGACACAAGTTTGTTCCGGTACTCATCAACAATTGCCCGAGAAATACCTGCCCGGCCAGTGTAAAAAGTATCCCCAGTGCTGTCATCCGCATAGCAATGAATGTTGCTAAGTTTCAACATATCATTGATATGCAGAAGAAATAGGGTCGGGGATAGAACACAGCCTTGTGGGACCCCAGCGTTTACGGTTTTAGGTGAACTCCTGAGTGAGATCCATGTATTTCTCGGGAAGCCCATGGTGTTGAGTGTTGTGACCGTCGGGCTTTCCTATGTCCAAACTAGCTGGCTCCCCTTGGACTCAATTGCCGCCCACTATGTGGTATACGAAGGTACAGCCGAAGACCAGAGAAAGCCGTATGATATCGCTATCAGCTGGTGGCCCTCTAGATACCTCAAGAGCTGGCAATTAACAATGGATTCCATTATTTTGGAGAACAAGGAGGTTATAGCTATTGGGCGATAGTTGGACGGATCAGAGCGATCGCCTTTTTTAGGGATCGGATGTATCAAAGCGGTCTTCCAGCACTTCGGGACAGTGCCGAGCGAGTACAGGTACCGGAAAAGGCGCGTTAAGACCGGAGCCAACTCAGGAGCACAAGTACGCAGCACAATTGGGGGGATACCATCCGGCCCGCTCGACTTATGAATGTCCAAGGAAGATAGTGCTTTGCGGACAGCACGTTGCCGGAATGTGATTTCCGGCATCGAAGAATCACACCGCGAAATGGTCGGTGGTGATCTCCCTCGGTCATCCAAAGTCGAGTTAGACGCGAAGAGACAGCCCAAAAGGTCAGCCTTCTCCTTCGCAGTGTGGGCCAGAGAGTCATCCTCCCTGTGCAGTGGCGGAATGGCGGGCTGACAAAAATTCCCTTGGACAGCTTTGGCGAGAGACCAGAAGGCTCGAGTCCCTGATGGGAGTTGGGCCAATCTCTCGCCAAATCTGGCAATGTGCTCTGACTTTGCCTTAGTGATTTCCCGTTTGAAGGACCTGGAGGCTGAGTTATATGCTTTTTTAAGTTCGCTGGTATTGGCATCACGAGATTTCGCCGCTTCCGCCCATGCCTTAAAGCATTCTCGCTTTCGACGCGAGGCCGCCTTGCAAGAACGTTTAAACTAGGGCTGAGACTTGCCACCGATCGGCACCGCAGAAAATGGAATAAAGAGTTCCATGCCCTGCAGAACCACTTCGGCGACAGAGGCGGCGACGGAATCTGGAGCTTCCGGCGAAAAGCACATAGGCCCCCAAGGGTAGGACGCAAAGAAAGACCGCATCCCGTCCCAATCTGCTGACTTATAGTGCCAAATACGGCGACAACCCATAAAGCGGGGCCGTGAAGGGCGCGTAGATGGCACAGTACTCCGGACCACACAATGATCTGATGAACCCAATGGCGGGTCAACAGAGACCTGATACTTCTCCGGATGAGAAGTCAGCAGAAGGTCCAACAAAGAGGGTTTATGACCATCCACATCTGGTATTCGCGTAATCGCAGGGACCATTTTGTGTCAGGTCGTAGGCTAAAGCAAAGTCGTGAAAGGATCTTCCCGCGTGATCGGTGGTTTCAGAGCCGAGCCAATCGGCATGGTGGGCGTTAAAATCGCCAAGTATCACGATTTCAGCGGTAGGAACCCTTTCGAGCAGGGAATCTGTAGCCATTTGGATGCGCTCAATGAGTCGGTCAGTTTCGGTATTTCCGCTATGGGACCTATACAGGCATGCGTAGAATCGCGGATGGTCATCGCAGTCTACGCGCAGCCAGAGGTTAGATAGGTCCCTTCCTTCAAGCGTCCCGAGGCGACGAGAACAGATATCCTCTCTGACGTACACGCAAACTCCAGCCCGCGGCACAAATGAATGTTCCAATTTGTACCCCGGGTAGGATAGGTGGGAAGTATCAGCCGGGGAGGATATCTGAGTCTCGGTAAGAAAGAGCAAGGCCGGCTTCGCAGTCTCTAGATGATAGTGGACAGCGTTGATGTTAGAATTAAGCCCCCTAACATTTGTGAAGTCCACGGCGAGTGTGGACGGGGGTGCCTTTGTATAATTGCTCCGTTTGCCCCGAGGACGATTACTATTTTTGTAGAGCGCAGAATTGCCCCCCCCAGAATACGAAGGGCAGCCTGTGCGTCCACCACCGGGTGCTGAGTGTCCCGGTGGTGGACGCCCAGAGGGGGATTCTCCACCGCGAGCGCGTGTGGTACCCCCCTGGGGTAGATTCTGTTTTTTCTGCACCTTCATATTTCTTGTGTGGGGGGGATGGGCTCCGGGAATCTCTCTCACCGCACGAAACGCGAGTACAAGAAGGCGAACCTTTTGCATCACTTCACGCCGGTTTTCTGAGAGACAGTGGTACTGCCCCGGTCGTGCCTGCCCATTTGGCTGAAGCCCGAAGGCAACAGCATGGCACTCCCACTAGGAAGGGGTTGTTCAATTGTATACGTGTATCTATTTTGATTGATTAGTTGCTGCATGGTTTTAATTGCGCCAATTGAAACATCGTAGTCGCGATGTGTTGTGTACAAAAGCTTTCAGCGACTCTTGGTATTTTAAAGACTGAGATTGTATTATTAGAAACAAAAGGAATATTCTATTTTCATAAATAGTTTTAATATATCATTGTTTATTTATTTATTACAAAAGATAATGAAACAGACATACTAAATACTAGTAGAGATAGATCCTACAAAACGGTTCCCACTGAAAATAATGAAATTTTATTTATACTTAAATTTAAGGTTAGCGCGTTAACAAATAAAAGTAGTTTATTAATTAACGCGCTAACCTCAAGAATGTATTAAATCAAAAAAAATGTTTAGATAGTTTTGTTCCTATTAAGAACAGTAGAAATCGTCTGACTTTAATACTGCTACTACTTTTGGTAAATTGAACTTCTATCTTTACAATTATTATTCAACTAAATTAGTATTTATTCAGATGAAACAACATTAATACAATGAATAATTTCGCAGACGCATACTCGAACCAGCAGTTGGTCTACCAATGGCAGAATTCCGAAAGCGTAAACTTTGTCCCAGGCATGACTTTGTCTCAGTTCGATCTCATCAGCTTTCCATACAGGAACTTTACATTTACAAGACGAGAAGGTAAGCCACACATTATGATTTACCTTTATTGTTAAATAATATCAATAATGTCCTCCAAGCCGATATGAAGCTAAAACTTCACGATCTGCAGTGGAATATATTAACCGCTGGAAAACTGTAAACGAAATTGATAGGTATTAAACGTTGATAATCTTATAATTATTGTGGGTGACCCAGAGTGAAAGCAACCTTAAATTCTTAAACGTTCTTAAAACTTATATCATTAAGTTAATATAAATGAATATGAAAGTCATAATAACAAGTATTGGGAGAGAGATAGCCTAAATAAATAGGGATGTCTCAAATATTAGCTGACGAGTTCCTCTCTAGAATAAGTCACGTTAATAATCGGGTAATCAATGGTTTTCCCTATTCGGTTCCCACATAATAATACTCTCAATCATCTCACTCAGAAAGGTTTTTCTCATACGAATGTATATACAGCAACTATGGACGAAATATTAACATTTTGCTGTTTTACTTTTTTATTTATCTATATACTATGAACCTGTCTTAATTAAATTTTATTATTATTATTTGCAGCGCTACATCGCAATAATATATTTTTTTCTTTCGTTAAGGACTTGATTTTTCGAGATTTTAACTAGTATTTTATTCACATACCAAAATAATAAATAAAAATGGTAACGATGTAACGACGAAAGTCGAAAACGAACTCTCATAACAGTCGTTAATAAAAGTAAAAAGCATAAATCATAACAATTATTTGAATACTCGAAGGTCGTTGTCATACTTTCATAAAACTTATAAAATTGAAGTCAGATCGAAGTCTCGATATCGGTTTCCTCTCCTCACAACAGCCTCCCTAATCACGGGAGATTGATTGAGCCGAGATTTCCGATTTAATGCGATTCCGCACTTTTACACAACCTTATGCTGAGTATGCTTTGAATAAAACAATTTATTCATAGTTTATGTCTTTGCATTGAACGCTTTTTAAAGAAAAAATACAGGGTGTCTCAAAAGAAAGTTCATATTTAGTTGATCGATTTAAAAAATAGGGAGTCGTATATCAAAAAAGTGTTTATACATTATTAAAGTACACATTTTGGGAATTTATTTCTTAAAAATAATACCGTTCAGACTCGCGTTCGTGGCACTCATTTAATCGAACAATAAAATTAAAAAGCAAGAGCCGATAATTCCTCGCGCTGACATCGCAGCCCATACAGTCACTATAGGCGAATGAAGGGGTCTCTGATGCTTACGTTTCGGATTCGTTGCACTCCAGTAGCGGCAATTCTGCTTATTTACGTGTCCATTAAGATGAAAATGAGTTTCATCCGAAAACAAGATGTTGGAATGTAAAATTAGAAGCACTAATATGTATCTCTTTACTGACAAGTCATAAGTGTACAATGTGTTACCCATATGATTAAATGATTTTTGAATTTTGTTGGAAAGCGCTCGGTTACCTGATTTACGCAGTCAAGACTCTGACTGGCAAAAAAGGCTTTAATCCTTGCACCAATGGAATTTTGTAGGGGTGCAGCTTTGGCACTTTGCGTAAAATGCGGTGTAATGAAGATCTATGATAAATAAAGCACCAGCGTAAATAAAGCATAAATGTAAACTTTCTTTTGAGACACCTGTTATATAAAAGCATTTTAAAAAGAAACCATTTTTATACCCAAATCTGCAAGTTATTAAAAATTTAAAATAAAATGCAAGTCTCCAAAATACAATATTCTCGAAAGACTCCTTTTTACCTCTATGTGGCGTATACAATGTAATATGTAAACATTACATCGATCTTTAAGTGTTCTCCGAATATAGCCTTCGGGGACATGAATTGGCTTTCACGCTTCACAAAAATTACATTTTCCCGTACTAAATGGTAAAATTCAACGAATTTTATGATTCAAATATTATTTTTCCAAATATAACGCTAAACAGGAAATCTAGGACTATTTTACTACCGCTTATGTGGCATTGTTTAATAACGCAAATGACGCATAGGCCATCATCATGGAGATCATGTAGTCAGTTTATGGAAATTAATTATTATTATCAATGCTTATCGGTGTAATGTCTTAGGCAAAGCGTCATTTTAATCTGGGCTTCAATAGTCAAAGTTTTGCAAGTAATTAGTAGATACTATTATAGTCCTAATTGCCTTGAGCCCTCCCAAAGGTAATATAGCAATCTCACGTGCATACTGCACTGCAGTCGTCACTTCTCATTCGGATAACTCATATTAAATTTGCATTGCTATATCATTAGGACAGGGTATCAATATATTATCTATATTATTCTATAGTATACATAAGATATAATATTATTTAATAAAACGTTTGAATAAGTTTATTACGTGCAGGTGATTTCTCGGTTCTACAAGTATCATTTAATCTTCAGCGGCACACGGGATATTTTCTAATCCAAGTGTACGTGCCCTGCATACTGATTGTTGTTCTGTCTTGGGTGTCGTTTTGGATACATCGAGAGGTGAGGTTATTGTGATCATAAACATTTGCTTCCAACCGTATTTCTGATTGTAATTGAAAGGGAATGCAAAAAATCTAAATGTCATGTTACATAAAAATGAAACAAAATCGCATTTACTTCCATTAAAGCTATGTTTTAGCCATTATGTTTTATTTAAATGCTATTTCGTCACTAGATATATACATAGTTTTGTGACTTATATTTATTGCAATATAATAATTAATGTTACATCTAAATTCAAGGCTACGTCGGACCGTGTGGGCTTAGGCATCACGACGGTGTTGACACTGTCCACAATAAGCCTAGACTCGAGGACCGATCTCCCGAAAGTCCGTTACGCAACTGCCCTCGATTGGTTCTTATTGATGAGCTTCTTCTATTGTATCGCAACCTTGCTCGAGTTTGCGGGAGTACATTATTTCACTAAGGTAAATAAATTGACAGACATTTGCGTTATCGTTGTACTTCCTTATCAATCATTTATTTTATTAACCTGCTATTATTCGTGGAAACGCTATGCGTAAGTGTGTGTCTATATATGTACAAAGTTGATATAGTACAAATACAAAATATTTATTTGATATTAATAACATGATCGTTTATACCCTTTCTAACATTTACAGGCATTCCAAGGACACAGCCTGGTTTTAAAATTAAGTTATAAATTAATTTCTAGGTAGGATCAGGTGAAATAGTAATTGATGATTCTGAGTGGGAAGAATTAATTGAGGAAGTCGGAGGTGACGCGTATGCAGCTCGACAGCTTGCTGCCAGAAGAAGAAGTTCGGTTAGATCTGCAAATAATTATGTAAGTTGAATTAAGTGTGTGTATTGTTTAATTGTTTCAGCTTGGTTATATTTACATACCACATCGGATGTCAATAATATGATTTATTGTTTTTCAGAGTCCCTCATTACCAGCCCAAATTAATAGTTCTGCGGATAGCAATCTTCCTCAGGTTCAAGAAGAACATCCATGCGTCCGTCTCACCATGGAACGGACCACTCAGACTGAGAACAGGGTTCCGCGATGGCGTCAGCTGTTGTACTGCCTCGCGGGTGATGACCAGTATAGACGTCAAAGGCAGCGAGAAGCTGGTACACTGTATATAATTATTTACCCTCTTGGATTGACTTTGCTTCTCCATGGCTTATTTAACCATGCTACTTAACAAGGACCTCATTGTTCAACTCACTTGAAAAATTAAATGTCTCTTTAGGCTATTTATATTATTAAACAGACAAGATATTATGTTCTCCCGAAGAGTCACACACAGTATAAAACAGAATATGTTTTAAAATAACGTACACTACTTTTCACTTAATATATAGTTAGATAGTGTGTTCTAGATTTTGGTATTTGTAATACGTGACGAACAAATGTTAAAGATTTATTTTAAATTTAAACACTTGTTAACAGGAAAGACATACTTTTCTAAAGTCACTTTTCTATGTAGCGCCCAAATTGAATTTTCCTTTTGTTTATGTTTATCTTTACATTTATTTATGAAAAATAATATGAATGAATGTACTGCCACGTAAAGTTTTTAATTTAAGAAATGACTCAATAAATAAAATACTTATTTTTTTTAAATATACTCGGAATTTATAAAATATTTTTATTAATGGCGTATGAGATAGTTAATTTTTAAAAATTAAATGTCAATTTTTTTTTCAGGGAACCGCGGTCACATAAACAGCGTATCTCACATTGACAAAGCCGCTCGCGTGTTATTCCCGGCATCATTTGCTTTACTTAATTTATTCTATTGGATGATATATGCCTTCACCGACGATGACTTCGCTTGGAGTGATAACCCTATTAATAGAGTGTAAAACCACTGGTTTATCACTCATTCCCGAAGGAGGCCGACAATTGGTAAAAATAAGGTTAAAATCAACAAAAATTCGAAATGTGTAATTGTTTTGTGTGACGCTTAAATTGTGTTACGTTTTTAACAATTGAACAAAAAGTAAAAAAAATATAGGAAATGCATTTCATACTCAGCTGTCGTACTTTATATCGATATTGGCAAACAAATTGCATAATTGAAATTTGTTTGTTTTTAGCTGCACTTTAAATTAGTTACGTTCGGAAATGTTTAAGGGCTTATTATAAAACGTGGGTTGAAGATAGTATCGTGTTTGTGACCATAGTAACGATATTATTTTTGTGTAAAAACATATGCCAACATGTCCACGTTTTATATTAATTTCCAACAAACCTCAATGTTAAGTGGGAAAATAAATAAATTTGACTTTTCACACATAATTTTATTCGCTGAAGAGTTTGAAAAATACAAAGGATTTAAGAAAGTAAACGTATAATACATAGTTTTAAGACAGTAGAGTAGGTTGAGCTTTCTCGATGTACATAGGTTACTGGTAAATAGCACGAATAACATATTTTGACCGTAGAACACGCTACTTTAAATAGTATTAAAAATCGCAAACGTGTCATCTGAAGACTAAGAGAGCTAAGGCTTTTAGATTTGGTCCGTCAATCGAAGTCTACTTCGAGAATTTCTCATTCATATAGTGAATAGACACTTTCAAGGCATTCGAAATACAAGTGGAATGTAAGGCTTTTATCATAAGTTTGAAGATCTACATAGAGAAGGCATAGTGGAATATCAAAAATTTTATTTATGAATCGCATCAGGTTCATACCGGATGTTCAAAAAATTTAAAATACTTTTGAAACAGTGCACTTTTAAGCGCGCATGTATACTTTACAAATAACTATAAATCCATCACTATTTGTCTTTTTCCAAAACGAGTTTGAGACACCCGGTACATCCGTAATTGTCACTTAGACCAATACTTGAACTGGCAATTAGGTAACTTTAAATGGTTAGAAAGTATAAATGTACAAACAGATATAAAATACAGACTTTTGGGAGAACAGTGTGGCAAGAAATGTTAGATTTTATCTTACAAAATAAACGAAGGATATACACAACGGGATCCAAAGAACAAATGTTGAATATATTATATAATACATATGCTTTCCTAACTCGACTGAGTTTGTCGAGCGCCCTCCGGTGTTTTCGCGAAACACTAACATTTTTCATAAAATAATTTTGACAAACATTATTTGTAAAAAGACAAATTATCTTAATATACTAATTCTATAAATCTAAGCATTCTGCTTCATAAAACGTGAACTAAAAATACCGTGTTGATTTTATTTACATTTTGTAACGATTAGTCGACGTTTTATAATAGGGCCGAGTGGTTTATAAATACATATGAGAAAATTTTATGGGTTAATATCTGGGCGGGGACTTAGCTTGCGCTGGTATTTACTTTCAACGTTATATTTTCAGTTTCTGTTAGTAATTAAATAAAACACATTCATCAACATCAACAAAATAGGAATAACTTAAAATATCACAATTCCATTATATTATACGTATACTTTAATGACTCATCAATAATGGCAACGAGTAGAAGAGGTTACCATATTGAATAATTTATGGTTCAAATGTAGCTGTGGTTTAGTAAAATCATGATTAAATAAACATAAAATAATCACTTTTAACGAAAAACATTTTACTTGGCTGGGATAACATCACGCACTCGTGAGAAATTATTTTTTTAGATATTTCATTAGATTGTATTATTCGTACATGACGCTTGCATTATTTATACTTAAGATACATAGATATATTGTATTACCTTACGTAATATTACGTACGTAAAAATCTCTGTTTTTTGAAGTTATACTTCTTATGGCGCGTTAGGGAAAAATGATGAGAGTAAATTTTCATGATGCGCGCGCACACCGTCACAAAAAATCAACACCCTGAAGTTAGCTATAGTCAACATTTTAGATTTTTCTATTGTAAGTGTCGTTTTTTCTACAAACGTAGAATAATTTTTTTGAAAAATCTTGTTACGCCAAAGAAGTATAACTTCTAACGCGTGTACATAAGTACACACACTTTTTTATTTTCTCCATTAATTTAAATATGTGTGTGTTTTATATTGAGAACGAAACATCTAGTATACTCAAGTGGGTGACCACTAGAATCACAAAAGCCGAAACATCGAATGCAATTTAAGAATATCGCCGCCAGCGGGCCTTTACTGTATACACAATTACGCTTTAATGCTAAATATTCGTCTCGACAATAAATATTCCTATTGTTCTGGCAGAACGTTAAACTCTTCATTCGCGCCCAATAAATAAGTCAATCTTCAATACACCGATTCAGTTATAATTTGTATAATTACGTTAAACGATAAATAGTTAAATCACAGATTCTACTTCTCTTAAAACTAGCCGCCTACGCGTCCCTCTTGCCGATCACGAGGAACACGTTCATGTCGTCCTTGCCCTTGACGTAGACGCTGCCCCGGGGCTCGAAGACGTACCGGGACGAGAGAGCCGACGCGCAAGCCTCGCCCACCTGGATCCGCTCGGGGACGCCCGTCGAATCCATCCGCGAGGCGATGTTCACGGCGTCGCCCCAGATGTCGTAGTAGAGCTTCGAAGTGCCGATCACTCCGGCGGTGACGTCGCCGAAGTTATACCCGATCCGAAGGATGAAGTCGAACTCCAGCAAGTCCCGATTGAAATTTTCGACGACTTTTTGCATCTCGAGGGCGAAATCCATGAGCTGGTAGAGGTGCTCGCGAGGGCCTCGCAGGGAATGCCTCAGATCGGGGTCGAGGCCGCTGGCCGCCATGAAGGTGCTGCCTATCGTCTTTATCTTCTCGACGTGCTGGAACTCCGGCCTCTCCAACAGTTCGTCGAAGTCCGCTATCAGCTCGTTGAGAACCCGCAGATACTCCTTCCCCTTGAGATACGACTCGTCGTACATTTCGTTGAAGTTGACAATGCTCGCGAAGATGACGCCGACGTCCCTGTGGTTCTCGGAGTATTTGGCGGTGCTTTTCAGTTGGTCTGCGACGTGCCGCGGGATGATGTTGTGCAGCAGCCAATCCGCTTGATTCCTCATGGTTTGGACCTTCTGTTTGTCTCTGGTCGCGACCACGTTGCTGTAGAAACTGAGTCGATAGCTTATCTCGAACTCTCTGTTCAGAAACCAAACCAAGATCAATAGCAACACGACGTCCAGGTAGAGCTCCCTCAAATGCATCTCGTGACGAACGGCGTCCGACGCCAACGTACCGTTGCTCCCCGTCGAGTCCTCCGAGAGTAAATCCGTGATGTTTGTGCCGTTTTGAGCGAATAGGTTCAAGCTCGGCGTGATATCGATCGATTCTAGAAATTGAGTATTGAGATCTCGGCAGCCGAGGAGGGATAGAAACAGGAACAGAGCCGCGTACAGAGTCACCAAGGCGTTCTTCACGAGCCAACTCATCTGGGTGAAGTTACAAAAGTGAACGATACAGACGGTCAAAAGGTAGATGTAGAACGACTGTTTCCCCTTTAGTATCGTCAAAGTTGTGATTTGGCAAGAGAAGTTCAGCAGGACCGCCAGAATGGGGAGACTTATCAGGAGGCTGCCGGACAAGTGCCACGGGTACCAGTTCGACAGCTTCCGAAAGACTTTGACGGCCCTCCTCAAGGTCTGCGCGACGTCGTCGGGGTCCAATTTCGACCTCCACTTGAGGTAGTGCCGGTACGCGCAGAGGGACATCGCCGCCACTTCGATGGACACGAACGCGACAAACCACCCGATGGAAAATCGCCACTCCTCGTAGACTATGATGATGGAGGCCGCGACTATCACGAATATGATCGACGACACCAAGATGTCGAGGGCGGTATTGAAGCGCGACGTGGTCAGGGTCGGAGGGAAATCCTCGCAGTCGTCGCTCCTGTGGGCTCTGTCGCGGTAGTGCCTCTCCATGTCCGGCGTTTTGAAGAAAAGCGTGAGCCCGTTCAAGGGCGGCTGCACGAAGTAGTTGATTCCGGATCTCGCGTTGTCCTGAACGCAGCGGATGAGCTGAAGGTCGGACTGTTTCCGCAATTTCTGCAAGGACCGAACTTGCTCATCGTCGAGCGGCGGAGGGAGCTTCGAGCGGGGGGGGATGTCGAGGGACGATTGGCTCGAGGTGTAATACCCGGACACTCTTTGCTGCATTATATCCACTTGGGAGGTCGCCAACGAGACGTGATTCAATACGAATATCTGAAATTATTAAACATTTTTTAAACCCAAACAACTTTTGTAAATATTTATAGTGGAGTGCTTCCCGCGTTCAAAAATAAATTTGCAGTCTAAATAGTGTTCGAATGGTAAAATTATGAATTTTACATGAAAACGAAACTAAATTCGTTTGATATTTATAATAAAACGAATGTATACTTGTTTTACGCCGACACTCTCAGCATTTTAACATCATAAGAGCGTTTTATCAAATTTTAGTCATTATTTAGCTCATAACAGCAGATAGTGAAGTTTTGATATAAATTATTTTATTATACATAAAGCGTTTCTCTCCTTAGAAACCATGCATAATAAGCATACGAATGAAAAGATTAAAAATAAGTCTCTAATCTATAACCTTGCGAAAATATTCCAATGATTCCAAATTAATAGAATAATTATTAAGCTATCTATTATGATAATTGTATTAAAAATAAAGTATCTAATAAATTGCTTTGTGGTTTTTATTATCAACTATAGTCCGTTTTATTTATTTTTTCCGAATAGTTAAGACGATAAGACTTAACGCCTTCGAAGCTGAACAGTTATGTTTTGTTCTGAAATCGAACCCGCAATCGAAAACGCATTTAATAAAACCAACTTTAATAACAGGATATTTAGGTAAAAGAAAGTGCCCTGGGAGTCCCTGTGCCGTGGGCAGCCGGAATCTTCCTTTTGACATGTTAACTGTAGTTGACAATAATTTCTACATTACACAATTTATAATTAAACTATCTTTGCACAATAAGAATAGTTCTGTATCAACAAAGGACAGATTGACAAGATGTTGTTTAAGATTGTTAGTGAATGTTTCTTATGTGAGTTTTGAAATGTTAGTGAAAATTTGTTTTTAAGAAATTGGTTTAAGGAGAAAAGGCGTTGGGCGAAGAAAATGCGTTTTTTGGGTTGCTTATGTAGGATTGCGTTGAGTATGACGTGCTGTAGTCGGAGTTATTTCCAAAAAAGTCTGCTATTGAGTATAATTGTCTAACAGTTAAAAGTTTTGTTTCATTGCACAATTTTTTTGTTGAGTGGCGAAAAAGTTTCCTATGGGATATGTTAAGAATGGCACGTTGGGTGCGCTCAATTTTCAGCATTGAAACAACAAATACCGATGTGCAGTATACACCACTTGATTGTATGTGGATCAGAAGGTTTTCTAAGGCGTTTGAAAACATATATAAGTTTGTTTGTTTAGTAATAGTTTAGATTACCTGCTGTTGTATGCTAGATCGCCTACTAGTGCTTCTGATCCCTGAATCCTTCCTGCTGTTGACAGACGGGCAGAGGCTGACAATGTCGTCGGGCAGTCTGCCGGGGTGGTTCGGTACGGGCAGGTTCAATTTCCTGTCCTTTGGCTTGATCAGTTCACCCTGCGTGGCCAGCGTGGAACTGCGTGCGCGACTAACTGGCCCTGGCTGGAATTTAAAACATAATAAAGAGGGTGATCAAACTGTGATGACCAACCCAAAACAATTATCGTTTAACCACTTAAATCCGATCGAAATTCTTATAAATCCTTTAAAAAAAGAATCCTTACTTCTCTAATTGTCTGTGTCAGTTTTACGACCAATTCGGAAGATGGTTTCTTCATTTCAACAGCCGATTATTATTACAATTAAAAGGCAAAAAAACTGAGCAAATCTTTAAAATTATAAATCTCATCGTAAAAATCTATTTCTAAATTCTAAATACTTTAAGTGTCTTGATAACATGTAAATGTTCTACACATTTTTATTTGATAGTATTTTTCATTACTAAAGCCAACAAGCAGGTGCAAGAAAATAAATGCCAATTTAACTGCTATACGAATTCACCTCTAAGTTCGGTCTCCCATACTGCGACCTGTAGCTGCTGCTCCTCGCAAACGGCGACATATTGCTTCGAGACTGACTTAGATACGACCGTATATCTATTATTTCCCTCTCGAACATCTCATTTGTACGGCTACTCAATTTGCTACTACTCTGTCTTGGCTTCTCATGAGATTCTATAACAATCGGTACTTTGCGGTAACCATTATTGGTCTGCGCGTCCCCACACTCCACTATATGTATGGTTTTGGCGCTGAAGTTCTGTTTCTTCATTTCGTGCAAAGGGGTGTCCGAGTGCTTTCTTAAAAACTTCGGTATCTTCCATTGTTTTATTTTGTTTGTGTACTTTCCACAGCTACCTGTAAATACGTGTATGTTATACATTAATAAAAAACAAATTTACTGAACTAATTTTAATAGGTTGGTTGGTCGCGTTGGTTTACGCGAGTACTACAACAAATATAAACAGACCGTTTAACTCCTTATCACGTGTCTTAATAATCTTATTATACTGATTATTTAGCGTGCGCTGCGCAAACTATTGATGAAGCACACCCGTATTTCTAGTACTCATAATTGATTATAAGCTATTATAATCCCCGTAAACAATTCATTATTCGAGTAATCAATCGATACAGAATTTTCCACGTTTTGGCAGAAATTGTACTCGTCCGAGCATGGTAAAGTTCATCATGAACTCACGAATACAGAGCCTCGCATAAGGATCAAAATCTTTACTGAACTTAATTTGTTTTACAAGCGCTGTCTCGACAACTACTGGTTCGAATTGTTTATTTCCAATTATAAAGGCTTTAGGCTCTTTAATATCACGCTAAGAGCGAATTAACGCGAGTGGCATTATATAACAATTTCAATTTTTTTTAATATACTCTAAGACTAGGGTCTTTGAACATCGTACCATACTTCGTGCTGTCTTAAAGTTTGGCTCAGTGTACTAATTTGTCTATCCACTGGGGCGGGTCTCTAGTATAAAATATATTCATACCTAGTTAGGCGATAACGTAACCGATCGTCATGTAACACGATATAAAAAAAATTATCAATCAACTCGATATCTTAACTATATCAAATCAGATTTACGACGTATTACCACTTCATATCAACGTAGATCTAAATCAACAAATCTCCTGATATAAAACCTATTCTTATTTCGTACTTTACACATGACTGGGAAATACCAGTTACAGGAAATAATAAATCTTTAGCAATTAGCTTCTAAGAATCTCATCAAAGCTTTTCAGAACACGTCCGCTACGTAGTAACGATTTCCTTTATAATAATTGACCCGCTGTATTCGCACAATTTTTCCCATGCTATTGAACGCCCTAGTGACGTGGCCTGATTGCGGGCGTAATGTTGTAACCTATTTCTGTCCAGATGAATTAATTGGCCGTTAATGCCTAAGTTACTGTTCATTCGTTCTATAACAATACCAATTTAGAAAAACTACATAATCCATAAAACAGCGATCTCTTCCAAGAAAAACTAAGTACTTGATGTATCCACTTCTGTTACCATTTTTCTATTACGGGCTAGGCTAGGGTAATTCTAACGCGGGACCTCCGGATTGAGAATGTAACTACTAAGCCTACACGTTATGTACCTGGCAAAGTAAATTTATGAATCGGTACAAAAATACGACTTTGACCTTTTTCAGCACCAGGACGTTAACAGTGTAAGTTTGAAAGTGTTTGTTTGTCTACAAATAAACCGCTCCCCAAACTATATTCAAATAACGTCAACCGACCGATTGACGTAATTTCGCTCGAGAGCTTTGCTATGTGTTATCCCGGAACAATCCAATGGGAATATTCACAATTTAAGGGAGCTATATCCAAATTTTAATATGGACATTCTTGCTTGAGGAAAAGGGTATTTTCCTCTTGTGAAAGAATGAAGACATAATGAAATCACTTGCCGTAGATAAACTGTTTTTTAAATGAATTTATTGGGTTTGAAAGAATTTACTAAACAGTAGTGTAGTAGGAGCCGCAGTTACTAATTAATAGTATTGCATTGTGCACCTGCACGGGTTTGAGCAATGTGACCTAGTGATCAGCCAGCTTAATGACGTCATCGAGCGTTTTCATGGATAATCATATCTCAAACCAAATGTTCCACGGTGTATCTCTTTATATAAATAAGCCATAATTCAAAACAATATCATCATGCCTTCTGTCACGAGTCAAGACAAAGTTGTCATCTTAATGAAATCTCAATCGTTTTGTAACATAATTTCAATTTGAAACTTTAAATTCTTTCATTTTCTGCCTCCATATATCGCAAAATAAACAAGCGATCTCTGAATGACACGCGAGTAACTTCCGATGACCGAGCATTTGCATATAATTTAGCATTGTTTACGAATAAGTCGGGGTGGCGATAGATTTCAATAAATACGCAATCTAGATGCAAGGAGCATCACCTTCTGACTATTTAGAGTCACATTATATCTTATCTTTGGGCTACGATGATAACTAAAGCTTCATAAATAAAACTGTGGTCGTGTTTCCAATAATAAGTCAATATTTACAAGCAAATAACACTTAAAAATTAGGTTTTTGTGTGTGTACACACTGAAATATAATAAAATTGGTATAATAAAAGTCTCCCATTGATGGTCTAAAGAAATGTTTAACTTCACAAATGCGTCATTTATGAACCGGTTTGGAAAATACTTTTTCGTTAATGGACGAAGTGATTGATTGGAAATAAGGTTTTTGCGTATTACAACACTGGTTTATCGCATCCAAGAACCTGATTCTAATTGAATATATATTTTACAAAAGCAATTTTAATCAAAATACGTCAAACGTTTGATAACAATTAACTAACAAAACATAACATTATTTATACTTATGCTTAATGAAGTTTACAAACATAAAATACTCTTAGTTATTATTAGCAGCTTAATGAACGAACGTACCTATATATATGGACGATATAATTCACCGTTTTACTCTCACAGGCTCATTAAACGCAACGTTATAATTTTGTAGTATTCCCAAACTAAATATTAGTTTTACTAAACCGCAACTATATTTAGATCTAATCGAGATTCGGATGCTGGGTAACTGTTGTGAGTTCCAATAACAAGTAAGCCTCGATTGTCGATGGCTTAGGGCGTCTCCCTAAAACAGTTCAGGTGGTGTCTTGTTTCATCTCACTGATTAAATTCAGTTTTGGCGTATTTGGTATGTGTATTCAGTGAATTTATAATGGGGCACATTACATAATTTTCACTTAGCTTATAAACGTTTAATATATCATCATAGGAGATTAAAGAAGAGCTAGTTTGCTTATCTTGCCGAATCCGCGCACAAATTATTTAAAGAAGTCTATTAAGTATGAGGGTGTGCAATTATTTAATCAATTACCGTCTAAATTTTAGCGTGTTTAATCAATTCAAATACATATTAGAATGAGCCTAGTAGACTAAAATTGGGACGGCTGATCTCTCGTATATATTAAGTTTCTCATGTAAATAAAAATACATTTTTTGTAATGAGAAACAAAGTTCTTGAAACAACTCTTTACAAGGCTTAAATGGCATCATGCGTACAATCAAATACATGCATAACGATGCCTTAAATGGCTGCCTAAATACAATACAATACTTAGTTGAAATGCAAAAATGTCAAACCACTCACCGATCGACGTGGGGCTTTTCGACGAGGCATCGTTTCCGTTCACGAACCGCTTATCTCGTTTATCTTCTAACTCCGTGTCCGAGTCCAAAATACTCGGCAGAGAGCTGGCTTTATTACGAAAACTAAACGTGCTCGGCGATAGGAAGTCGGAGAACTTGGCTTCGGGTTTCGTTTTGTCGCCTGCAGAAGCGTCGCCGGTCTTCGCGGAGATAGGTAAGGGCGAATGGCTGATAGAGAGAGCCGATTGTGGGGAGGCGGCCGGAGATATGATAAGACGCAAGTTCACTGGATTGGAGGGGGTCAGGCAATCGTGGTCGTACGGAGAACTCAGCTGCCGGCCCTCTATAAAGTAGGTTTTATGACCTGGACACATTTGAGGTATTAACGAAACGAAACTCATGCGAACGTAATGTTTAGGTAAACATCTTACCGAAAACTTCCTCGCCCTCTTCTAAGACGTAGGAGCCCCCGAGGAATTTGCTCGTTTCCTCGGATATATGCACACGGCCCGGCTTTCCCGTTGATTCCATTTTATTCGCGAGTGTTACGTCATTACTCCATACGTCGAATTTAAACCTGCGAGTCCCCACTATGCCGCACAGGACGGTCCCCGTGTGGACGCCTACTCTCATATTAACACCCTCTCCTTTTTCCCGATCGAATTCTTGAATCGCTTCTATCATTCCTGAAATATATAAGTGTAATTATTATCTTCTTTAAAATCAATCAACTCCTTTATTTGTCATATTTGTATAATAGTTTTATTATTCTAGATTAAAACATATAGTATGTTATAAATTAAATTGTGCATTTAGTATCAAAGAACACATAAAAAGGGTCACGCCAAAAGTTCACGTGCATTCATAAATAATATGTTCGATTTGCACTATGATGTAAATATAACATTGAGTATTAAAGAAACATATGGATGTAACAAAGATCGAGGTCAAACAAGCAATTTTATCGGTCGTTGTTACGATCGATGAATCGATAAATCATTCCATACAAAGAAAAATGAATAATTTAATGAATTTTTCACTTACCTAGTCCCATTTCAACACAGCAAGTGGCGTGGTCGGGCCTCGGCTCTGGACAACCAGATACGCAGTAGTAACAATCTCCTAGAGTGGAGATTTTCTCACATCCATGTATTAGGCACAACTCGTCAAACTTCTCAAACAGGTCATTCAATATGTTGACCAATTCCTCTGCACCTTTGTTGCTGGACATTTTTGTAAATCCAACTATGTCCGCAAAAAGGATGCTCACATTATCCATTGAACTCATGTTAAACGGTCTGAATAATGATTTAATATCTGAAGCACCAGGGTTTGATGTTCTGGCCTGAAGTGGGTCATGAATTTTTGATATAGTTTCAGTTTCTGTCACTTGCTCCTCCATCAGCCAACTAGCAAGCTTTGGCGGCATTACTGAATGAATCATTTTCTCTTTCAGCTGCTTTTCCATCTCCAGCTGCCTTCTGACTAGCAAACTCTGACCCACTTTCATAAACGTACCCCTCATTCTTACAAAAGTCATAAGGTAAATATGTACACCAATTATATGCACACAAAAATGAAGTAAAATTCTGACTAACATTCCAGGATATTGCCATTCTTGTTCTGATAAATGTAAGAATACATTGAGGGTCTCAAAAGCTATAGAATACAGGAGCCCTATTGAGACACAAGCAAAGAGGGGTAATGGGGTTAAAGTATAGATTATCAATAGTATTTCAATGCACATGGTGAAGTGACCCGATTGACTTATATCGGCTATCAAAAGTGAATTTGGATCTAATTGTGTTGTCAGGGCTATGAGGGACAAGCTGAGGATACACAGAGCAAGAGCCATAGTCATTGACAATCTGATTGTATGTACTTTATATATTTCAGTAAAGGTTAGAAACAACATTACAGATGTAATTAACAATACTCCAGCAAATATTAAACATAAAAATGGCCATTTTACACTCACATCATTCAGACCAAGTACCACAAAATAGATAAACCATGAAATGGAAAATATTAAAATGTATAAAAGTGCAAATCTGAAAACAAAAACAAATAATTTATTACTAACTCAAGCAAAAGTATAATGTGGAATACAAAACACTATACAGGGCAATTGTTTGTACTTACCTAAATCTCAATCTTATCTGTCTGAAAGAGCTACTTCTGTACTGGCCTTCAAGTATTGGTGAGTCAAACCTTGGATTCCACCATGTTCCCGGTGCAGCCCTTTCAAAGGCAATTGGTATTGCAAAACCACAACAATTTGTAGTTGAGTTATTATGAGCCAAGTAAGCTTGCACATGCGGTGCCAGTCTAATTTGGGCATCTTCAGCTTCAGAACATTCAGCTTCGATTTTAGATTCAAAATGCTCTGAGCTTTCATTACAACTCATACAACCACTGTGAGCACTCATGGTGTTTTATTTATTTATTCACTCTGCAACCCATTTTTTAGATGAATCCCTGAAGAAATACCATCTTGAACCTGTATAAAGAAAAACCTTTTTCTACAAGTATAATGTAAAAAATTAACACTAATGTAATTGCACCTAGTACTGTAATCATAATTGATATCTAGGTCATTAGAGTCATCACTAATGACCAAAAATAATTGTAAACAGAGATATTATTGTTTCTTAATTTAACTTTCTTAAATGGCATATATTACAATATTTTTATAGTTAAAACATATTAGTGTTTTGACACACAGCTAACCCACTTATAAAACTACTTTCAGTAAGGTAATGTTCAAATCTAACATTTATAATAAAATTTTCACAGAAGTCATGGGTTCTGTGAGGGTCGGAAAAAATAAAGCTTACAAAACATTCATAAAATGCATTTTAATATTAAGAAATACCGAAGTAAATACCAGATAGCAATTGCTGCTGTGCATAGACTCACCATTTTAAGACCAAGGTTAAAGTTTTTGTAAAACAAATCACTTTTGCAACTGTGTTTATGATAAAGTAGAAAATTAACAATATAATTGGTACAAACTACAATTTAAAAATATTTTGAACATGTCAGTATTTTCAATAATTGTAACAAGACCCAAGTAAAAACTCAAAACGGCTGGACAAGCGATTATTATCATTTATCATCACTAATACACTCGCGAAATTAATTTCATATTTCATAGCTAGATCTCCGCAAGCGCTAACCGTGTCAGACAAAATGACAAACTGATTACAGCTGACTACAAGTCAAAAGAACGAATGACGAATCTAGCTTTTGTCAGACAGGCAACATAAAACAATAACATTTTTTTTTTTTTTTTTTGGCGGGCGGGAAGAAAAAACACACTTATATGCATTGGTAACACTAAGTTCACTAGCCAGCACAAGTCTTTGAATGAGAAAACTTTGGCAATCAAAAATAATGTGGTGGATCGTTCCTTCTTCTGCTTGACAATGATTACATTGATTGTTTGAAACAATCCCAAGTCTTGCTAGGTGTGACGGCGCAATATTATGACCAAATCTCAATCTGTTTATTGTTGTAATGAAATCTCTACTTTCACTAGATTTCAATTTGTCATACCATGATTTAACAGGTATGTTATCTTGGATACTTCCATACCACTTTCCCTTGTTTTCCTGGTCTTTCTTCCACATTTCTGTCCACAGAGTGTAAATGTTTTCCTTAATATTTAGAAAATAATCAGTAAAAGGAACGGATACTGAGTCTGGAACGTCAATACTGTTTATAGCCTCACATGCAGCTTTGTCAGCTATTTCATTGCCGGTTATGCCTTTATGTGAAGGCACCCACAAAAAATATATATTTACATTCTTAAGATGATATTTAAACAATAGGTCTTTTATAATATACAAAATATAGTTGGTTTTATATTTTACAGAAACATTACTTAGGCCCTTTCTCCAATGCTCCGGTCCGGCGTCGGATACCGGAATGAGTCATGAGAAAAATATCGGAAGGCTGGATTGCGCTTCTCCACTATATCCGATCCGACAATAATCGATACTTGTATATATTTATCATGCAACACCTATATTAACTAAAACCCATATACTTTATTTTATTAATAAAACGTTCTAAATTCTGAATATTTTATTGCCCAGGCAAGTTTATTACTTTATTATATTGTCTATCTTAAAATATTATAATCTACTTAATAAATAGTTCACTAATACTATGGTATAAAAATATAAATAAATAGCAACATAATTTGATTTGGTCCAGGTTATCCAGATTCTTTCAAATTAAACAAACTATAAAAATAAACCTGTGAATAATAATTTATAATCTCTTGGATACTTGGATAAACTTGGACCGATAAAACATCGCGTTCCGATCTAGCAAGTTGTCGGATCGTTAAAAACCGGATGCCGGAGTAGTGGAGAAGCACGTAAGTACTGTTGTGAGTGTGAGTTTCTAAATCGGATCGGTAATTAACGTTTGCCGGACCGGAGCAGTGGAGAAACGGCCTTAGACTCTTTATCAGACTTAAAGTAAAACAATAACATAATATATTGAGATTACAGATTATCCCCAATTGTATTGTTGAGATTACAGTTTATTCCCAATTGTGTTATTAGATACATGATACACTCGGTACGTTCACGTATAACGAAAAAGATAGATATTTTTTTGTAAACAATATACAATAACAATAGAATGAAGATGTCGAGCGGTTTTTAGGGAGTAATTTATTTAGTGGTCAATCGCCTGAAGAGCAGGATGGAAGTTCACTGGAGTGAGAAAAGTACGTAGTAAAAGAGCCCGGCTTCACCGGGGAAGGCGGGCTTTTTACCCTAGTCTGAGTTAGCTTTAACTCGAGGGTGGCTTTTAACTTATCGTTAGCTATTGTTATTACATCTTCCTGATCCGTTAAAACAATCCATGGCCTCCTACGGCACTTTTATATATATATATATATATATATATATATATATATCAGTGGTAACTGGTATGTAAATCCATTCCGTTCTATCCTGCTCCATCTCTTCGACGGACCATCTGCCGCCATCGCGATCATATCTTTTAACTTGCTTACCTATTTGCTTTCTCGTGGATGACATAATATGTATCTCATTTTTGATTCTTATAATGTGCCTATACAGTTCGTAAGTAGTTTAGTTTTTAAAGTGTACATGGTTTTAATTATTCTATTTGTTATAGAATATCTTAATTTATTCTATAATCTTCCCAGTTTAAACGGGTTGGATTTATAAATACGTCGCGTCGTGGGAACTGACCAAAGTTACGAGGTGTAATGTAGCATTCGCTTTGAGCGTAGTTACGCATCGAGCATATATTTTTCGTTACGCTGTGTTTTAAAATCGGCGTAACATGCTCGATCAAAACTCTGTGCTCCGTCTTTCGCCGCCAGTGTTCAGGAGATGGCCGAAAAAATACAGCGAGGACGTGTTGATATCTTTCAATCTATTTAATTATTGTTTCATCCAAATTAAGAAGAAGAAGAAAAAATGTTACTGGACATCAAACTTATTTAAAAACACAGGCGTATGAGGTGGTTTGTTATTGATTGCAATATTAAAAAACCAAACGATTACTGGACAGTATAAAAACTTTTTACGCATGTTTCGATTTTGAAGAACTGTTGAATTTAATTGGACCAAAAGTACCTTTAAAAAAAAAAAAAAAAAAAAAAAAAAAAAAAAAAAAGAAAAAAAAAAAAAAAAAAAAAAAAAAAAAAAAAAAAAAAAAAAAAAAAAAAAAAAAAAAAAAAAATTAATAAAAATTTTTTTTTTTTAAAAAAAAAAGACACAATTTATAGAAAATCATAATCATGATACCCCAAACACTCGCGACGTGCGACGCGTCCTGATTCGAACCGCGTATCAGTCAAAGGATTCGCCAAAAACCGACAGCCGGGTGGAGCACTTGTACAAAGCGAGCACAAAACGAGCCGCTCGTTGCTCGCTGGTTTCCCCGTAACACGACGTACTGACTGCACGAATGCTCGCTGTGTAACGTGTTACATTACACCTCGTAACGTTGGTCAGTTCCCACCTTTAAGAATTCAGATGACAAGCGCTACGCGCGTTGCGAATTGTGAGAGCTCGTCAACGTCAAAGCGCCAGGCAACGGGCGATCACCTGCGAGTAGCGACCATTTCTCTGAGCGCCGCGCTTACGCTTGCTGACGCGCGTTAACCTGTGCTCATGTGAAGTGAAATTACCACAAGTGTCTAGTCGCGAGATTTGAAAACGCGTGTCAAATTTTTGCCATCTGAACATGGCCTAATAGTAACATTAACAAACAGCAATTTCGAGAGCTAGGCGACATAATATTTGAAATTAATTATTCACCTGGAACTATTCCTAATGAGTACCTATCAGTCACTAAAAATCAATGTCAGATCTATTAACGACGGTCATTTAAGTATCAAAAAGTCAATACTCTATTATATTTCGTCGTCATTTTTACTAGTAACAAAATATAACCCATATAATATGTATTGGTAATAAAATAATAAGAAATCAATATGTACTTAAAAATATATTTATTTAAATAAGATAAATAATGTTGGCGTAGTGGTTTCAGCGAGCAAGTCGTCTTTGAGGCCGTGCGTCCGAATCACGCCTATTCACCAGTGGATTTTTCTTTCTATGTGTGTGCACACTTGCTCATAGACGGAAAACATTATAAAGAAAGCCGGCATGCCTAAGACTCAAAAATCGACAGCCTGTGTCAAGCACAGGAAAAATAAAATAACAAAATATAAAATAAAGCATTTTGAAATAAATTTTCATATTAGTATATTATAACCATTTAGTAAAGATATATAATTAAGTAATACATTGATCTTGGAAGACATAAGATATGTGTAAAATCTTTTTATAGCCAGTGGACTGCAAAATGTGTATTTAAATTTATTACTGTTGTATTTAGCGCACACCTTCAGCAAATCTGAACACAGGCAAAATATAAATTCTTTTATCACAATATATTTTACAAATACAGCACCATTTATTGCTTATACCTTAAATCTTTATAAATTTTTTTTCAATAGTTACAAAAATATGCAATATCATATAACATGGAGATATTCATTATTATTAACTATAATAGTAACACAACTTGTAGAGTAGCTCATTTCCCATAATAATAACTAAAATCACAATCAATTTCATCTACAAAAATATATAAAATTGTATGGATCCTAAGATATTAATCATTGTACATTCCATCCAATAGGAAATCCATTCTTTTATAATGTCGGTTTTTCCAGGCATCTTGTCCTCTCTTTAGAGCCATGTATCCAACAACTGCAAACATTGGTACAACTAATATAGTTATTACAATAGGCATAACAAGATCAGGACGACTATTTTCATGAATTTTTTTCACTTTGGCATCTGGCTGGAATTCAATCTTTTCACTCAACTTGTCCAAAATTTGTGAGGAAAGTACAGTTGGCTTATGTACTATTGTTTTATTATGCTTTTCTTCAATTTGCAACCCACTTTTGTTTGAAATAGGTTTAAGAATGTTTGTGAAATTTGAACTTTCATCTAGTGTGATCATATCACCACTAGAAAGTGAATCTTGCTCATTACTTTTATTTTCTTCGAGGTGATATTTTACACCTTTTCGTGGAACTACCGAATTGCTTTTATTTTTCAATAGTTCTGTATCTAAATTTATAACCATAGAGTTATTTTCTTTTGGTATTGTGACTGTTGTGTTTGTTAGAGGGCCACCCTCACTCTCAATTAATAACTTTTTGTTCAAGTGCTGTAGTAAGTTAGGAAGAATTTTAATATCGTTTGAAGTAGTTACAATTTGTTCTGAGTACACGTTGTTTGTAAAAGGCAGAAATAAAAATACGGCACAAAATAGTCGAATAAGAGTCATGTTTATCTTTGGCTTTTAAAAAACAAAAAGTAACTAACACTTAATAAAAAAATAAGCAAAAACTGATTAAAAATATACATAAAAAGCTACAATAGAAAATAATTATTATAAAAATAAAAGTTATGCTGTTTACCTACACCATCACAACAATTGACGTCAAAAATTAAAATGTAAAAGCTAAAGGACGTGTCAACACCAAGACTCGACGTTGTCAGCAGTCAGACGTCACTCATTACTTGGCAGACTTTATAGGTAGAGACAGTCAACATTTAACTTCAATCATATGTTAATTGACAACCTTGACAAATTTGACTTTCAAATGACATATCTATTAATAAAAATATTACGATTATGCGTTTCATGAGATTTTTAATTTTTATTATGTTTTATATTTTTACTATAGGAACTTTGTAAGGTGTTAAATTATGAAGTAGAGATTTAAAATCATTAGTGTATGATTATTTTTCACGATGCGCACTCGTAGTAATTCTGGTGTACGATTAGATTACTACCAGAGAATTGTACATAAGTTAATTCTTGACCACCAGCAGCCTGTGACTGGCTTGTTTCCAGCTAGCCCTCATAACGATCACGCTTGGATAAGAGACAATTTGTATTGTATATTAGCAGTATGGGGTCTTTCTATGGCCTTCAAGAAAATAGCAGATCAAGATGAAGATCGGGCCAAAACTTATGAATTGGAACAAAGCTGTGTAAAGCTTATGAGAGGCAAGCGCAACACATATGAATAGTATTGCTAAGTTATTATTAAGACATTTTCTAGTAAATATTTTATTTTTAGGTCTTCTTATGGCTATGATGCAACAAAAAGAAAAAGTTGAGAAATTTAAGAGTACTCAAAATCCATTAGATTCTCTTCATGCTAAATATTCATCAATCACGGGTCGTATTGTTGTTACAGACACAGAATGGGGTCATTTACAAATAGATGCCATTTCCCTTTACCTTCTTGTCCTAGCTCAAATGACAGCATCTGGGTTGCAAATTGTATTTTCACTTGATGAAGTAGCCTTCATTCAAAATTTAGTTTTTTATATTGAATCAGCTTATTGTACACCTGATTATGGAATTTGGGAAAGAGGTGATAAGACAAATCATGGTCTCCCTGAACTGAATGCTAGTTCAATTGGAATGGCTAAAGCAGCATTGGAGGCAATGAATGAGTTGGATTTGTTTGGAGCTCGAGGTGGTCCATCTAGTGTGATTCATGTTTTAGCAGATGAAGCACAAAAATGTCAGGCAGTATTGCAATCCATGCTGCCTAGAGAATCTAATAGTAAAGAATTAGATTCAGGGCTTCTCTCCATTATAAGCTATCCAGCATTTGCTGTTGATGACCCATCTTTAATAGCAAAAACAAGGGAAACTATTGTAACTAAATTGCAAGGGAAATATGGCTGCAAAAGATTTCTGAGAGATGGCCATAAAACACCTAGAGAAGATCCAAATAGGCTTTATTATGAGCCTTGGGAATTAAGAATGTTTGAAAACATTGAGTGTGAATGGCCATTGTTTTTCTGTTATTTAATAATGGACTACTGCTTTCAAGGTGATAAAAATAGTGTCTCTGAATATATGCAAAAGTTAGAAATGATTATGATTAGGAAGGATGAAGGTATGAAGCTGGTGCCAGAGCTGTATTCTGTGCCTGCAGATAAGGCACATTTGGAACAAAGTGACCCTGGCAGTCAGGAAAGGATTCCTCTTGGGAGGTGTCCTTTCATTTGGGCTCAATCATTATATATTCTTGGAAAGCTGTTACAGGAAGTGAGTATATATTTCCAATAATATCTGCCTAACCAATTCCTTGGTGGTGTTTATGTATTATATTTAACATAATTGTTGTTTAGATTTTTGGTTTAGAAGTGTGTTTTTTTTTTTAAATATAACGTGCAGGAGGCTGACCTCATGTTAAGTGATGCCGCAGCCCATGAAAATTGTCCGAAAGCTCTATTGGCGCAGTCAAAAGGCGCAAGTGCGTTGCCGCACTGGATTTAGTTGACCCCAGTCCCACACTCCATGTTGCAGGGTTACAACTTCAAACACAAGTTTCTTCCAATACTAATTGACAACTGCCCGAGAAATACCAGTGTATAGATACTCTATAGTCCGCATAGCAATGAATGATGATAATGTGTATAATAAACAGTGTATCGTGGCCTATCCCCAAAATTGTTTATTATGCATATGGGTGATACAGAGCATTGTGGCTGTGGCGTGAAAGCTGGGGTTTAGGTCGGAACATGCTTGGACGCTGACGAACTTGATGGTCCGATCAGCGCGAATGCTGGAAGTCCAGTTGTATAATTTCTCGGGGTGCTCTGTGCCTCACCCGATCGAAGACTTACGCTATGTCCAAACTTACCGCCAGCGCCTACCCCTTGGACTCAATTGCCTCTGTCCACCTATGTTTAAGATAAACGAGAAGGTCACCGGCTGAGCGAATAGGAAGAAAGCCGTGCTGGCTATCGCTAATCAGCTAGTGGCCCTCTAGATAGGAGCTGACCGTTAATAGTGATTTCCATTATTTTGGAGAAAAAGTAGTTTATCGTTATTAAGCGATAGTTGGACGGATCAGATCGCGAGTTCGACTTCCAGAGGCCCAGAATATCGACCTACACCTTTGCGGTGAGTGCCAGCGAGTCATCCTCCATGTGCAGTGGTGGAATGGAGGGCTGATAGAAATTTCTTCTGGACAGCAAGAGTCCAGAAGGCTCAAATCTCGCCAAACCTGCAATGTGCTCTGTCTTCGCCCTAGCGATTTCCCGTTTGAAGGACTGGATGCTAAGTTAAATAATTTTTAAGATCGCCGAAAGTCGCATCACAGGCTGTCGGCGCTTCTGCCCAAACTATACTAAAGCATTGATCGCTTACGAGCGTTTAAACTAAGGGAGGGACTTGCCACCAATCGGCACCGTAGATAGTGGAATAAAAAGTTCCATGTTGTATGTGCTGGATGAGTCAGTGGATTACGTCATTTCCGCAGTCTACGTGCAGCCAGAGATTATAAAGCTCTGTTCCTTCAAGCGTCCTGAGGCGACAAGAGCAGACATACTCGCAACCTCCCGCCCGCGGCACAAATGAATGTTCTAATTTGTACCCCGGGTAGGAGAGGTACGAAGTATCAGCCGGGGAGAATATCTATGTCTCAGTGAAATAACCTCTGTCACAGGTTATTTCAGCAGTGGCGGACGGGGTAATATTTTCTTTTAACTATTATACTAGTACATTAATTACTTACAGGGTTTTCTTGCCGTCGGCGAGTTAGATCCATTGAACAGAAGGTTATGTTCTGAAAAGAAACCTGACGTCGTAGTGCAAATAGTCATATTGGCTGAGGATAGTGAAATCAGAGACAAATTAATGGAGTACGACCTACACGTGCAAACCATTCATGAAGTAGCTCCAATTGAAGTCCAGCCAGCGAGAGTGCTGAGTCATCTCTATACTTACTTAGGTATTGCGTTTAAATATTTGAGTGATTTTCACTCGCGTAGTCAGCGAACGACTGTTACATCAAGTTGAACGATTAAAAGGCGATTTAAAAGAGTGGCGGAGAGTTTATTGCCAGGTCTTCTCTTCCGTTCTACGCCCTTGATTTGAGATCTGGCAGTAAATGTAAAATTATAGTAGGGGAGCCCAAGCGGGGATTTCGGGATTTACTAAAGCGCGGCAGATTAATATACAGGGGGATACCTTGTACCCGGTTAAGTTCCTTCACAAAACATAAGGCCCATATATAAGGCCGCCAGTGAAGTATACAGGATCAGATTAGTAAAAAAAATTGACCATCAGAAATTCTCGAGCGCGTCAGATTAAGGTAGGGTGAGTTAATTACATCCTAAAAAGTGTATATTCCACTAATCTGACAATTTGAGAGTGACGTAAAAAAAGGGGAGGGCAACAAAGTTGTAAAAAAAAACGTAAAAAATGTTGAAGGAAATAATTCAAGAATAATGAAAAATATATATTCTGACGATTTCCGCAAGCCGAAATAACAAAAATTCGTCGATAAAGTTAAATGCGTGCAGCTGAGTGAGTGATGCCTACATTTCCTTCTCCGCGTTTCTATTCCTCTCTCACTCTTGCTCCATCTATTACTCTCTCACTCCGTCCCCACTCTGGTTTCTGTTGCCATGACGCCATCACAGCTGATCAAAAGCGGTTGATTCGTTCGAGAGATATCGTGAACGAAAGAAACCCGAAAAAGCGTCTTTTCGGGATTACTCCGAAATTTGTGGTTCGATCAATTAAAATTGCAAAATTACTTATGAGGATGATAAAACTGCGTCGAATGCCGCCAACCGCGTGAAAATTGCTTGATCCATTCAAAAGTTATTGCGGTTTGAAAATTCCAAAAATAGTGTTCTATGAAACTTCTATCAGACTTTCGAGCTGGGAGAGCTCAAATGCATAGAAATATTATTTCTTTGAATTCAGCGAGCTCAAAATATCACTTAAATTATATTTTGAGCTCAAAAATGTCATAAGTACAATTTTAAGCGCCCAGGAATGGAATTAGCGGGAAGTTGCAGGGATGGCCTTTAAGGTGAACCGTTTTTCTAAAAAAATTTTGTCAGATCAGGCGAATCTCTCTAGATATACGTCAGATTATGAGACAGTACGTTTAGAACATAAAGATAAACCATGTATATTTTATTCTGACGCGCTTGAGTATTTCAAAATGGCGATTTTTTTTTTCACATTATGAAAATGGCCGCGGGTTTGCGTCCCATCGAAATCGTCAGATTAGTGAATGAGAGCTTTTTTTCGGTGCACTTACCACTCCCTTAGAAAATCTGACGCGCTCGATTAAATTTTTTTTTCATTTTCAACCCTTAAATACAACCACCCGCATCATGCAAACAATCAGATTAACATACGTACATTATTAAAAATACGTAGGGCATTGATGCTATCAATATCTGACGCGCTTGAGGATGTCCATGCAACAGTTTTTTTTACATATTTAAAAATCTATAGCCGCTTCCCCCACCGATGTAAAGGTATATATCAAATAACATTTTTTTCTTCTTATCATGTAAGCTTTGCATCCCAATAGGTCTCTACGACGCTCGAGTAAATCCGCATTTAGCCTCGTGGGCTCCCTTTTTTTTGACGTTCATAAGTGTACATTGTGTTGTTACCTATATGAATAAATGATTTTTGAATTTGAATGATTTGAGTCTACTGAAATGTTTCAAGTCAAGTCAAATCATTTATTCCATTTAGACCACCTAAAATGGCACTTTTGAATAAAATATAAAGATGATCTAAGGCAGCAAAGTCAGAACAAACGCTGGCCGCTGGTAAAGAAGTTTTGGGTAATATTATTAGAAATAAGTTAACAATCATTATGTTAATGATAGGTTGCCTGACTTTAAACTTTTACAATGTCTCTCAAACTTTTTATATGTAAACCCGAAACCAGACTAATGGTACATTTTACTGATAATATTTTCCTAAAAAATAATACTATGTAATATTTGATCTAGTGTTTCACATTAAATGAGAGTCATAATAATGATATATGTTTTTAGGTAGAAACAAAAAATTGGGTTTGTCGGGAAGAAAGTCGCGGGATGTGGGAATATTAAGTACGAGCAAGCTTTATTCATTAAACGATAGAATCTTTGCATTTACGCCCCAGGTGAGTCTCTTAAATAGTTTCGAAAACATGTTTTTCTTTTCTTTACAAAATAATTAGCGACATTGTTTTGTTTGTTAGTTCTCTGATATGAAGCGTTTCTACATAGCGTCTGACTATGAACTGATGGTAGACATGCTCAAATCAGAAATTTATTTCTTGAAGTCCTCGTGGCAAAATCTACTGGGAAGGCCTCTTATTGTATTAACTTTGAATCAAATGAATTTAGGTATTTATTCCAAATTTATTTTGTTTGCTTACTTTGTGCCCGTTCAAACAAATTAACACTTGTGTCGGCTTTTAATACGAGTTTGTGGTTACGTGCATACCACGCTTTCAGTTGCATTTACCATCGCTAGAATAAATAGTAGTACATTGGATCACGAAATTGTTTTACAACAATTTTAGATGTGCGATAACTAGCATACAACTGACTTTTGTTACAACAATGATAATGGAGAAGTTTCTATTTTTTTAAAGGTTTTAGAATGAATAGTAACTCGCCTTTACCTTTAGCAATGACATAAATGTTACACTGACGACGCGAGTCCGCCGATAACGTATAAACGATACGCGATTCGTATATTACTACGTTAAGTTAAATAATTTATTTATAATAAAAGTTAATAGTAACTTAGTAGAAACTGCTCTACTATTATTGGTGGCCGTGACTCTGGCCATTGTCAATGATTACAATATAATGTCGTATTCCCCTGTTCCCTTGTTGTCATAACACCCGCATGAATGCCCCAGAACTTTGACTACGAGGAGTACTACATGACTCGCGACCCGGCGTTGCTCGCCAGCACGTTTACGGCGAACGTGGCTTTCCTTGGCATGAGTTGGAAACAAATGTTGGGAAGACCGACAATTACGTTACTTGCCACACAGTATTTATTAGGTATATTTAAGTTGATGTTATTTTTAATTTATACTGTTCTATGTATAAGGCATGGGCGTACTTTAAGTTACAATGCCATGGCATATAATATATACTAATGAAATGTAGATCATGTAGCAAATCATTTTGACCCTTAGTCTATGGTCGATATAACGATATTTTTTATTTCTCTTCTCTTGCTATACGCTATTAAAAAGCAAAAAAATATTGATCGAGGTACCTATTTAAAAAATGCATGTATGTAATTGTTGTAAATAAATAAAAGGCAATGGTTGTTTTCGGCCCTAACCTCGTATTCAAACCTTAATGTATACGGAGCTTTAAGTGATCGGATACATTGTGCTTTGTAACTAAAACTTTCGCTAACTTCCTCTAATGTCCTGTTGCTAAGAAATCGAATATCTTTAACGAAATTGTAAGCTTAATTTGAACAAAAATTTCAGACCATGGTAAAATCCCAATGGCCATGATAACAACGATGAAGAAGCTGAAGTCTGGTTACATTAACGGTACGAGAGTGACTCTCGGTAACCTCGGGGACTTTTTAAGCACTTCGGCCATAACTAACTTGAGTTTTCTGGGAAGCCAGGAGGACGGGTATCCTGATAGTATGTGTGAAATTTGCATAAATATACTAAAACATATCACTTCTTATACTTTTACTCGTTTGGGAGACGTATTTTATGTTTATGACCAAAATTTTCTCCCCATATTTAATTATGATCATAAAATTTTGCGAAATAACCACCCAAAGCTACTAAAAGGATTTCAATAAGTTTTAGCATTACTCTTTATAAATATGTGAAGGATAAACTAACATATATCCAACAACACAAAACTATTTAACTGTGAAACGCTGAAAACGACTTTTTATATGATTTATTATGTTTAGATTCTTCAGTATTATTATCAATTCACTTGAAATAATGGCTTTTCCTTTGTATTAAGGTACATTTTGTTATGTCGCACCTTACAGAACTGAATCCGCAAGTACAAAGCTACTTGGAGGAACATCTATTGAAGTCCTTCAGCACTAAGTTCAATTTCTTATCGAAGCCGACTGCACCGCGAGGTCGCACTCTGAGGAGACGGATGTCAGTCAGAGGCGCCATCAAGAAGACGAGGTCTATTAATGTCGATTGTGAGTAGATATTTGCTTGTTTCCAACAGGTCAACAGTTTAACAGTCGCTGTACCATTATTACTTTACGAGAGACGATATCGGTATACATGTGTTAATTCTAAGCATATTATATATTTATGTATGTTTAATTTTTAAATGAGCAGTGTTGGCCTAGTGGCTTCAGCGTGCGACTCTCGTCCCTGAGGTCGGTCGGGGGTCGTTCGATCCCCGGCTGTGCACCAATGGACCATTTGAGCATTTAACATTCGCTCGAACGGTGAAGGATATCATCGTGAGAAAACCGGCTTGCCTTAGACCCAAAAAGCCGACGGCGTGTGTCAGGCACAGGAGGCTGATCACCTACTTGCCTATGAGATTGACACATGATCATGAAACAGATACCTAATAGATAAGCCTTAAAAAGATAGTAACGCCTCTGGTTATTGTTATTATATTTGTAACTTGTCAATTACAAAAGAAATACTATTTTTTTCAGCGGAGACTTTGGGAATGGAAGGAGAAAACGTCGGTCCGCAACAAGGGATTCTCGAACGGAAACCTTCGTGGCTGGAAGTAGACCCTATGTTCGGACGCAGCCCCTCACCGGAGGACCCCAAGAGGAGAGCCTTTTCCAAGTAAGCTGTTTTATTTTATCCTAATTTGAGATAATGTAAAATGACGGTAGATGCAAAAACTTGATTTGAATGAATTTTTGTTATGTTTTGTCTTTATTTATTTTTCGTGGGACCCCACGAGGCCACCGGCAATCGCCTGAAGCAGGGCCCGGTAACATCTTCCTTCTCCGCATCCCGTCACGAGATAAATGATGTGACTTTGACTTTTAACTGAGATGTCTCTCTCATCAAATCATTTATTCATTTAGGTAACAAGTGTACATTACACTTATGAACGTCAAAAGAGAAATATGAAATGCTTTTAATTTTACATTTACTACCAGTTCTCAAACCAAGAGCGTAGAACGGAAGAGAAGAACTGGCAAGAAACTCTCCGCCACTCTTTTTAATCGCCAAGTTTTTTGTTTTAGACAGCGTTTGTAAGGAGCTGCAACCATTACACCATGTTCCACATGACATCTTAAGTAAATAATTAATAGTTAATTATAATCGACACATTTCAGGGGCACGTCAACCACCAGCTTAGCGGTGACTCCCACTATCGCGATCACCAAAGAGAGTTCTCCGTCGCCACCCAAAGACGAAGGTATCACTTTTTCCATTTTCTCAATTTTCATTCGTAACTTAAGTCGAATTTCATTAAACCATATTGCCATTTCAGCCACCAACAAGAACGTGGTGGTGCGCAATCGCACAGCCTCCGAAAACCAGAACTTGGTTTACGCGGAACAAGAGACGGACGAGCTCATCGGCATGCTGCGGGAGACCGAGAGCTTGGACGAGCAAGGGGACATCCTGCAGTACCTGGTCGACACTCACGGACTGGACTTCGGGACCGGTAAGTGCGCGCGCGCAGCTTTGCCGATCGTATCAAATTCAATAATTCCTTTTCATAGTAATTATGCGAGTGATTAAATACATATATCTATATCGAAGGGGTTCTCGAGAACGGCAAGAGCGTGACGGTGAAGGACCTGCTGAAGATCCTGTACGAGAAGGCCTGTTCGCAAAAGCTGTGGGGCCTGGTGCGGCACTCGGCGGGGATGTTGGGGAAGAGGGTGGAGGACCTGGCCAAGGCCGTCACGGATCTGCTGGTTCGGCAGAAGCAGATAACGGTGGGGATGCCTCCCAACAACGAGTACACCATCACCGCGCCGCTGCCCGAGAACGAACTGCGGCAGCTCATCCACTGCGTGAGTATTACTCCGGTGTGACGCACTTTTTGGAGATAATTGGCCTCGTGACCACCCAGCGACTCTTTATACTTACAAGTTACCATTATGTGTATGTCTATGTAATATTAACAATAACGCGTAATTCTATCCACGCCCCGCATCGTAACGTTTTACAAAAACCCCCTCCCCCAAATTCGTTACGTAATACTTGACGCTACAGATTTGAGCTTTTTTGAAATATCGATTAAAAGTATTCATTAAGGAAATGAATTCCATTTCATGCAGTCATTACGCCGAAGCACAATCTCTAAAGATGGGAATCGAAAGGTAATCGGTAGGTTCACTCTCAAACGCAAAAGAGGGAAAATTAAAATAGTTTGTACCCAACTTGGCCAGGCTTACGGCGACGACGAGAGCACGGCGATGCTGACCCAAGAGCTGCTGGTGTACCTGGCCATGTTCATTCGGACGGAGCCGCAGTTGTTCCTGGAGATGCTGCGGCTGAGGGTGGGGCTCATCATTCAGGTATCGCCTTCCTCTTAGATGCGGTGGAATTTTGAAGCTTTGGGAACGATCGAAACTAGGTTTGTTTAAATTCTTTAAGGTGATGGCGACGGAATTATCCCGCACCCTCTCTTGTGACGGCGAAGAGGCATCGGAACATCTCCTCAACTTGTCGCCGTTTGAGATGAAGAATCTCCTCTATCACATCCTGAGCGGGAAAGAGTTTGCGATTAATAGCGGTGAGTTCGTATCCTATTTCTAGAGCAAATTATTTCTCACACCAAACGGCACCGGGCCAAACATTTCTGATTCCGAGAACATTGAATGAGCGACTATTTATTTATAAGAATTAAACAGGAAAATGTTATTCAAATCAAATCAAAAATTATTTATTCATGTAGGTAACACAATATGAACGACAAACAAAAGAAATATACATTAAATGCTTCTAATTTTACATTTACTGCCAGTTCTCAAATCAAGGGCGTAGAACGGAAGAGAACAACTGGCAATAAACTCTGCGCCACTCTTTTTAATCGCCAAGTTTTTGTTTTACACAATGTTTATAAGGAGCTGCAACCATTACACCATGTTCCACATGACATCTTAAGTAATAAATAATAATAAAATAAATTAAAAACAAAGATTTGTCCTCTATCAGCAGGAGGCATGGTGAAATAGGAGCACGCACTTCCATTCTCGTGGGAACAACACGAGTAATAACTCCAAATTTAACAATAATTTTAGTTCATATAACTCTCTCCGCATATTAAAAATAAATATATTTTGTTTACAGCAAACTCAGTGTTCGGTTTACCGCTTAAGTTTAGGAAGGAAGGCGAGTTTCCCGTTTTTGTCTTGTCCGTTTTTGCATATTTCCCTGTTTGTCTAACTGTGCCCCGGTTATTTAAATATATTAAGTATTTAACAATTAACTATAATATTTATATCATTATTCGAAACATATCGGCTTCGTCCCGTGTTAAGCTGCATCGTTCCAATTTCCAAAGTAACGTTCTATTTCAGTAATCTGGATGAAGCCCCTAAGCCTATAAATTAAAGAAACAATGAACTGCATCAACAGAAGTACCAGCTACACTCTGTCTATGCTTAAGTCATTTCTGTTTTATAAAATTATGCGTGACAATGCTTGTATTCTTCGATTAATTTGATTGTTATTTTTGAATGTTTATAGACTTCGTTTTCAGTTTTTTTCGATAATAGTATTGTAGTATGCATCGACATGAAGAATGTTGCCCGTAACCATAACTTATTATGTCGTCTCCTATAATCTTTGCGAGTTCAAACAAAACTGGAAACGTCGAGTGATGTCTAAAACGTAATAAATTCTCGTTTATATTCGCTGAGAAAGTTTTAACTCGCATCAAAGGTGGATTTCGAGCCTTATTTGTCCATAGGTCGCGGTAACTTCTCTATTGTGAGCAACAAATCGACTCGGTACGGAAAGAAGTCACAAATCGTACTCGAAGGACAGACTCTTCAAGGCATCGAAGACGGTGAGTGTACCTCGTAGATATAGGAATAAGGAAATTTTAGTTTTTTGATTATTTATCTTCTTTGACTTTCTGCATAAGTATCGTTCTGTATAGGCGAGTGGAGATCAGCCTGCTGTGCCTGACGCGCGTCGTGGCCGTCGTAGCAGCGCAAAAGCATCGCAGACTCAGTGCGATGAATAGTTGCAAAATTCTTATTTAATATTTAAACACGGCCAGTGCGCAATACGGCGCAGGCGCCGATTTGCCTACGAACTCGACTGTCGATCTGACTGATCGCATCTACGCACTACTGACAAATTGACATATTATAACCTATAAGATGTCCATGATATTGTCTGGTGTTGCCATTCTAATGAAACAAATGTATATATATATTATATAAATATAATTTGGTATCGAAGCTCCGACGGTGGAGCCGGATCGCCAAGGGCAGTGGTTGAGACGTCGGCGCTTGGACGGAGCTCTCAATCGAGTTCCGAGAGATTTCTATCCGAGAGTGTGGGGTGTCTTAGAAAAGGTATTTATTCTATTTATGTTATGTGATATCTGGTTAAGAGCTCTCCAATATTCTTTTTAAAAAAATAAAATGAATCCAAACTTTTTAGAACTTGGTGTTTTATGTTTTCACCCGTTCCATTTATAGTAATGAACTGTTTGCCCGAATATGATGATATGTTATCAATGTCTTTAAAATGGAATAAAAAAAGATAAGTAATGTTATTGCAAGTTGTTTTAATACTTTGTCTAACAACAATAAATAAATTAATAATTAATTAATATGAATCTAAATAGATTTAATTGACTTTGGAACGAAAATTATATGAGTTCCTTATAAACATAACAATATTTATATAATTGTTGTATTAAAAAATGTGATAGTATTATATCCTGTACATAAATTAATTGGTGATTTATTATATAGTCAAATTGCCGAACTTTTTATAGACGACGGTGGTTCTTTCCAGTGCCAAGGTCTGGTCATCCAGGGGAAGACACTTCAACCGAACTTGACCCAAGAGATGACGCCCGGAGAATTGAAGTTCGCGTTGGCCGTCGAGACGGTGCTCAACTCGATCCCTCAGCCCGAGTACCGGCAGTTGGTGGTGGAGGCGCTCATGGTCCTGACGCTTATCGTGGAATACAAAACGATCGACAACTTGGGGGGAACCATCACGGTGGAGCATTTGGTGCACAAGGCCAATCAGATATTTTTGGAAGATCAGGTGAGTTTATTTATATGTCAATTTCATTTTTATTGATCGAATGGTGCTAACGGCGGAACAATTGCAGATGCGTTGTAACGGCGACGCCACCCTGTGCTGTGCGAAGCCCGAGTGGGGGGGCGGGGGGCAGGTGTGCGGCGGGGCGGCGGGCGTGTGCCAGCTGCTGTACGACAGCGCCCCCAGCGGCAGCTACGGCACCATGACGTACCTGGCCCGCAGTGTCGCGACCCTGCTGGCCGACAGGATGCCGCACGACACGCCCATCGAGTGCACCATCACGTAACTGGCAATACTAACTTAACTAAATTTCATTTTTATAACATTGCCGGTAGTTACGTATATTTTATTTATAAATAAATCGTAGTATTGTTTTATATAATAAATTGATAAATCTAAGTCCATTTCACTGAAAAGTTACTTGATTTACTCCTCCTTATAAGACTAATAATTAAGCAATAATTTCGTTTTTGAATATAACTTCAAATTATGTCATCATATTTGATGTTGCTGAAACTTTATTGCCTCTATTTAATGTTATCAAGGCCTGTAGCAATGGAATCTAAGAGTACAGAAATAAATAAAAATTGTTTAACTTGTCTGATCGATCAAAAAGTTTTCCCTTTCTGTATGCATGAAGTATTGTTGACATACTTTTTGAAATTTAAGTTACACTTGGGATAAGCTGTTATTGCTAAACAGTCATAATTTGTTGAAGTTAAAAATGTTCTGTATACTTCTAATTGTTTACTCGAATTAATATGAAAAAAAAGACATGTAACCATATTGAAACTGTTTGTTTCAATATAATTAGAGATTAGATAGATATTAAAAGCTTCTATTGAGAGTAAAGCATCCTTGGAAGAGCTTTTATAAAAATGTAAAAGTGAGACATAGTTTACCTCGATATTTTTCAATTAATTTCATATAATTGTCCTTATTTGACTTATTTAATATCCTTTGAAAATTAAATATATCAGATGTGTTGAATTATTTGTTGTTTTAACTTTGATAGTTATTAAAATCATCACAGTATGCATTATATAACTATTTATTTCCATATCATTTTCTACAACACAACAATTTTCATGTGATAATGTCTGTCTTTTCTAAAATACTAAGCTTCATCCTTCTTTCCAAATGGATTCATTTTTGAAAGCCAGGATGTTGTGGACCTGAAACATTGTCATTTATATTAATTGTAATTTAAAATTCTCTAAAAAGTAAAAATAATGAAAAGCATGAAAATGTCTTCCTTGTTATATAATTATTACATTATAACTTACGTTATGTCCTCAGCGGGCGTGTTAGCATCAATTCCTGCTGCCTTAAGTTTTTCAACTAAATTTTTTCTATAAACATTTTTCAGAGGAATTGGTTTGTTAGCTGCTTCTTTAATTTTTGCAACTTTACACAAAGCCTCATACCAAGTTAAGCCATACCATTCGATTTCTTCTGGGGTATACTAAAAAATGTATATTTCAGTAAAATATTAACTAGCAACTAATAATACACATGACAACTGTTACTTACAGATGACAAATATGTTTTATATTCATCATAGATCTGTTTTTGCTTGGCCGGGTCGTAGGCGTGTCTTGGACATCCATTCATCAATTCAATAAGTATTTGTTTTTTTAATTTTAAGGCTAACATAGAGGCCAGATCACATGCTGGTGTTTTCAGCAAATAATGATCAAATCCATAATGGTCATTAATAAGCTTTATTGCTCTGTCAGTAACTGTGACAGACAGGTGCGTGTTTAAGACATCTGATTTAACAACAGTCCTTTTAAGCACAGGTACCCAGTAATGAGGAACTCTGCGTTTTTGAGGATCACGCTTTTGAAAACCTACAAAAATAAAAGATACATTCAATACTCATTAAAAAAAAAGTCTAATATAATAAGAGAAAACAGGCTTACTTACCTTTAATAACTGCTTCACCACCCCAAATTCCTTCATGAATTTGATGAGGCTGTTTCAAGGGAAGAGGTATATTTTGCACTGGGAGGGTTTCACCAGTAAGATCATCACGCTTCCATTTGCTATCCTGAGGGATAAAATGCACAGCTGCTGGTTTCAGAACCTTCCATTCACGCCAAAATTTTTTATATGCAACAGGTAGCTCAGCAGCTATACCTATGTCAAATCTGTTTTTCTTCTTAAATGTCTTCGACAACTGGCGTGCTGTCGCCTAAAAATATAAAACGATAAACAAATTCTGATAAGGTCACACGTTCCTCATTGTCAACACAGTCGACGTGATGCAACAAAAATCTAAAACTTGTTTACGAGCGTAGTGTTAAAATACCTGAATACGGGAAGTGGCCATTTAACTTTTAGTTAACGAATCATGTAACAATAACAATTTACTTAAAATTCTATCTACAAAATACCAAATATTTTAAAATAAAATTTGCACTTTGCTACTATATAGTCAGTACAAAGTACAAACGTCAAGTAAGTTATTTAAAGGTGACAAATGCCAATTCTCAATCTGACAAATTGTTGTTGCTGTAGTTTTCAACTCTGTGCCTTAGAAAATTCAATCTGTGCTGACGTGGACGGTGGATCTTTCATCATAGAAAATGGCAAGTGATCGAGTGCCAAGTGGTTGCTAAATATTTTGATTCCTAATTTTTATTGTATTTTGTCTTTTAAATCCTTTTATTCGCCTTAATTTAGTGCCGAGTCATTATCAATAGTTATTTGGTGCTGTTTATAAAATCGTTACCGTATTCATGATTTCATCAGATATTCAAATATGTCTGACAATAAAAACATCGACAATCCTGTTGAAACGGAGCAATCTGAGGTCGATTCAAATTTAGCAGTGTCTCGATGTGATGTGGCAAGTATTACGAGCAAAAGCAGCATTAATAATTCTAAGGTATTTAGTACATTTTAAATTACATATAATTTAGGTGACTACTGATATCACGACAAATCTTGATTGTTATGAAATCTAGGAGCTTACACTTTAATGAAATTTATTGTTATACTATTTAAAAGTACTGGTATCCTTTAAGGACTCTACATTTATAAAATTTGGTGGTAGACATTTGATAACTAATAGCAAGCAATCAAAAAAAATATCAAGATATTTTACAATTTACATTTTTTTTTAGATTTTGTAAAGTTGGCTAACTAATATCATATATCATAATTTTAGTTATATCATAGTCATAGTTGCACAGTCAAGTTTTTTGCTTAGCCAAATTTCTAATGACCACTAACAGAATAAATTATTTTTCATTAATACAACATGATTTAAACCTAATTTAAATTGTATAATGTGATCAATAAATTGTTTCCAAAAATTTTGTCTTTCCAGCTGACAGCAGAAAGACAAATTAAATTTGAAAGAGCCCAAAAGTGTTTGGAAAATGCTGCTCTGGTATCTAAAAGGATCAAAGAGCATAGAAAAGCCACAGCTGAACTGTTGGGCCGGCCTTATGGTAAATATATTAAAATTATAAATGTATCCACCTCCTCTTTAGGTGAACTTGTTTGAGTGGGGTCCATTTGGTTGTCCTATCTGTTTTTTGTAATTTTCTATCTATTTCGTTTTTCCACAGTGTAGCTTTGCATTGCATTGAAAAAATAAAATAAATATATTTACATTCCAAATATTACTAAGTAGAGAATACCAGTATTATCTATTACTGCAGTGGTTATTTAATGCTATTTTATGATATTACTATAGTTAAAAAAGTCACCTAGAAATCATATAATCTATAATTACTATTCCAGCAAGATAAGATGTAATTTTGTTAAGAATAACCTCCATTGATTCTATCCTCTATTTTACAGAAGATGATAATGCAGACAATCAATCAGAATTGGCATCCACCATGAGTGAAAAGACAGGATATTCTGTTGCCACTGACACTTCCACTACGCTGTCTGTCCAAGATGCACTTAACAGTTAGCAAACATTGATATTATTATTTGTAATGCACTTACTGTTGAAAACATTTATCTCTTATTGACTCTTGTAACAAAGATATGTTTATGTCTGCAGATGTGGTGTCAATTTATGATGTGTTGTCATATTAAGCTTTCCTAATATAATGCCTATATAGTTCCAGGAATAAGCGAAAGTTTAGCAAACACTTTGAAACAAAAAGAGATATTAATGCAAAGGATCAAGCAATACAAAGAGATAAGCAAGAGGCCGAGCAAAACGACCCCTCTTGCTAAAAAGGAATTAACTCATGAAAGTTCAGAATTGAGAAAGGTATACAAACTAATATCACAATAATTTTAAATTTAACTTACTATAAATTTCATCTTTTTTCAAAATAATATTTAATTTGAATACTTACAAAGAAAAACCTCATTAAGACAAAACTTAAATAACTTATGGTAAAAATTTATGTGCATTTCAGAGTTCAGACAAAGAAATTTCCAAGTTAATGAACATTGTGAAAGACAAAGAAAATGCCCTAAGTACTGTGCAAGGGAAAATGAAGGCTATGGAGACAACTATTCTGGACATGCAGGAAAAACTTAATGAAAAAGACCAGATAATTGAAGCAAAAAATAAAGCAACTACTATTATATCAGATAGTTTAACAAAAAAAGGTAAATAAAAAAAAGGGAGAAAATTAACAATTTCTTTAAAATCTATAATCTAAGGAATGCAGTGGCACGGTTCAATGCTACTTTGTTCTTTTTATTTTAGTAGCAGGGAAAAAGAGAGCTTATGCTTATCTATATTAAGAAAATTATGATCAAAGTCTAACAACAAAACATGTATATGTTTCAGAAAAAGATGCAATAGACATATTGGACGATACTAAAGAGCAGATGATTAAAATGCAGAATAACTTTGTTACAATGGAAGCCGAATGGAAAGAGGAAAAGATGACACTTTTGGCTGACATAGAAGCCAAAGATGATCAACTCAAAAGTCTTAGAGAAGCCAACACTATTCTTGAAAATTCGCGATTTGAAATTAGTTTGGCGAATTCAAGGTTATCGGAAGAGCTAGAGTCGAAGGCGAAAGAAGTTCACGAATTACAAGACAAGTTGGGTAAAATGACCAGAGACCGTGTCGAAGATGAACCGGGACGACAGTCGGAGGAAGAAAAAGGCTCAAAAGAAATAGCCGATATGACAGAACTGACGAAAAAAATAGAAGTGTTGGAGCGACTGAATTTTGAAATCAGGCAGACTAATAAAGAACTAGAAATTCAACTCGCTTCAATAAGTAAAGAAGCAAAATCCCCTTCTATTTCACCTTCTAAAAAAGCGAGTCCTCTACCGACACGGAAAGGCAGAAATACTGCGTCTAAAACGAAATCGCCTTGGAGTAAGCTTTCGGCCGAAGCCCTCAATCAAGATCCCGAAAAGAAGCTGACAAAGTCAGACATACCCAAATCAGAAACGATCGTACAAGCGCTCCATAAGGATTTACTGGAGAAGGACTACATTATATCGCAAAAAGATACAATCATTCAAGAGTTGACTTCCTCTAATGATCGTAAGGAAAACGTCATCGAAGAATTGAAGTCGCAACTCTTATCACAAAAACAACCAGTTTTCGAAAAAGTTGATGTAGCTATAGAAACGGAAAAATCGGACCTTCACCCTGAAACGAAAGATACGACGTCCGTCGACGGGAACTCGGAGGACAGATCGAGAGCGGCTCGGGAGCAAATCGCATTATTGACGGAAGAGATAGATGCAGCGAATAAGAACATGATAAAAGTTAAATCGAATTGCAAGTTAAAGCTGAAGCAAATGCAGAAGACGATCGATAAGTTCGGTTCGGTGTCGGATGCGAACGCCGAGATCGTTCGACTGAATGAAGAAATTCATCAACTCTCGCAGAAAGTAGCCGAGCTGGAAGAGGAGAAGGGCAACTTGCAATTGCATTTGGTGGATTACGATAGCGGAAGGCGTGAGTTCGCATTTTCATTATTAAACAAATTCATGTCAATTTCTTGATGCCTTATTAGAGATACGACTTCAGTCTTCTTACTTTTCAGTCACCGACACAGATATTTACAAGAAGATGGTGGAGATGGAGAGTTTAGCCGAGGCCAGGTTGAAATCGATAAGTTTGCTCGAGACACAGAAGTTTGATTTAGTTCAAGGTAAATTTCATTTTTAAAACGCACTTTTGTTTAATTAGGTTCTTCATTTATTGTGACGATTAATTTCAGAGTTACACGTATTGCAACAGAAGAATGCAGAAATGGAGGACAAAATTGCAGATATATCTCAACTTGAAAACGAACAAGTCTGCTCTGAAATAAAATCGGTGCAATTGGAAGAGCAAATCGACGGACTTGTCGCTGCCAAGAGAGAACTGGAGTTGGTCGTTGAAAACCTGAAACTGGACAGAGAGCATGTAGAGAGGAACATCGACTCGCTCAAGACTGAAAAGGAAGAGCTGTTGCAGAAGTTAGAGCATTATGTCCAAGAAAATATGGATTTAACCGACAAATTAGAAAAACTAAGTGCCGAAAAAGTAAGTTCAGCGGAGTCGATCGAGATCGTCGAATCGTTAACGACACAAGAGAAGCTAGAAATAGAAGAGTATAATAAAGGAATTCAAGCAGAAAAAGCGGACGATAACAATTTTGAGTCTGCTGAGCCACCGGTCTCTTCTGACAGTACTAGTATAACCAAACTGATGCAAGAAAATGAAGAACTAAAGAGCAAAATAGAATTATTTTCGCAAGAGAGACAAGAAGTTATGGAAAAAATGAATACTATATGTACAGAAAATAATGCAATTCATAAGAACATCGAAGACTTAGAAAACCAATGTCGTAATTTGCAAACAATTATCGACCAGTTAAGTTTTGAAAAAGCAGAACTACTCAATCTTAATAAAGAATTGAACTCTCAAATAGAAGAGTTAAAACATCAACGGCTCGACATAGTCAAGGAAGCTGCCGAAGTTAAACCTATCGCAGCCGATGACACGGTTGATAATCCTCTCGAAATTCACCAAGACGACAAAGCCGTGGGAGACAAAGCCTTGAAAGGAGCGAAATCTGTGAAGCAGTTGACTAAAGAAATATTGAAATTAAAAAATATCATTAAAGAGAGAGAGGATGACATAGCAGATTGTCAAATGAAAATACTGTCTCTAGAAGAAATCCAAGAAAAACAGAGTGAGTTAACGCAAAGTAATGCAGCATATGAAGTTAAAATCAAACAACTGTCAGAAGAAAATAAATACCTTAAGATACAAAATGATACCATGATGAATGACAAAATTGAACAAACCCACCTCAAAGACACGATCGAGCCTTTGCAACACGAAATTCAACGCCTCCAAAGAGAATATAGTGCCGCTGTCAATTCTCGGGA